GTATCCTGGTTTAACATTAGCTTTGCTAACTATTTCCTGTCTTTCTATTGGTGCAAGCTTTAGGGAGGGGGGAAAAAAAAGCCTCACCACACTGATGATGCTCATGGGAATTGTGGTACTGATAGACTGTGAGAATTAAGTTGTTCATTCATACTGAGGTATAGCAGCCATGCCTGTATTCTTAGCTCATGCCGTTTTTCTGCCTGTAATGTACTTTGTCGGAGGTGGCAGCACTCCCTCACCAGTGCTTTCTTCATTATTCATCTGACAATTAGAGTGAATTCTAATTGAATCGAATAGAACCATCATGCTAGTACTTTCTGTCTTCTCCAAAACTCTGAATTACATTTTGTTCCCCAGAGTTCAGTTCTAGGGCCAGCCTAGAATTCAACATTTTTATCAAGGATCTAGGTACAAAGGTTGAATTAATCCTTAGCATGTTTGCCAATAATACTAAACTGGAATGTACTGTTGACTCTCTAGAGACCTTGCAGAAGGCTCTAGATTTGTTGAAGCACTGAGAAATTATTAATGGCATGAAATTCAACTGGTGCTGCAGCTGGGATGGAGTAACAGAGACAAAGGCACAAACTGGAAGATGAATGGTTGGTTGGAAGCTCGTAAGAAAAGGTCCTGGGAGTGCTGGTAATGTCAGACTCACTGTGAGCCATCATAGTGCCCAGGCACCCAAGATGGTAACCAGCATTTTGAGGTGCATTAAACACAGCATAACCATCTGGTCAAAAGTGGTGATTCTCCAGCTGTATTTGACACTGTTGCAGCCTCACCTGTAATATTATGTGCAGTTCTGGGCACCACATTATAAAAAAAGACATTAAGGTATTCGAAAGTGCCCAGAGGAGGTACCAAAGCTGGTAACAGGGCTGGAAGGCACATGTTGAGGGCAGAGGCTTAGAACACCCGGGCTGTCCCACCTGGAGAAGAGAAGACCAAGAGGTGACCTCACTGCTCCCTGAAGCTCTCTGAGGAGGGGAAGGAGAGGGAGATGCCAGGCTCTGCTCCTGGATAGCGGAATGGAGACAGTAGAGAGCTGCCAAGAGAGGATTGGACTGGGCATTAGGAAAAATTTCATTACCCTGAGGGTGATCAAACCCTGGAATAGGCTTCTTAGCAAGGTGGTTGATGCTCCATGCCAGTCAGTATTCAAGAGGTATTAGACAATGCCATTATTAATGTGCTTTAACTTTTAATTAGCCAGAAAGAGGTCAGACAGTTGGACTGTCATTCCAGCTGAACTATTCTATTCATGTGTGATATGTACTTTTAAGAGAGAATTTCTTCTAGATGGTAGAGATAATCCACATACGTGTTCAGGCATAAGGTGTGAAAATCCCATTGTGGGAATAGGATGGGGTATGCAGCTTAAGCTGCAGGTCTTTCATTCCTGATTTTGGAATACTGTCCCTATTTTGTAGCTTGCTTTAGCTTGAGACCAAGTGGAAATCATTCTGCTCTATTTTTCCTTATCCTCTGGCCCATTATGAAGTGAAGAATCATCACTGAAAGCAATATACTTCCTTAAATGGCTTTCTATAGGCAGTTTCAGGATGATTTTGTTTGCTTTAAGACCTCCATTTTTCATTGGGGCAGTCATATTCTGTAGGATGGAGATGCCTATGAAACAGGGAACAGTCATGCAATGAATGTTGCTCCCTACAGGACACCAAAAAGAGGCATGACTTAAACCCATGATTTTGAGCTGGTTTAAGCTGATAGTCTCTGTATCTCCAACCGTAAAAGAAACAGTAGAGATAGCTTAAATAGCCACTGTAGAAATTAGAGAGTTAATATGCTGTACATATTAATGTGTAAAAATAATTTTATATAAAAGCACTAAGATTTGACTACATGCTTTCCTACTCATAAAGACTATTCAGTTTTGTGAGGGGAAAATGATGCTATAGACAACTGAGAACAGCTTCTTAAGTGTTAATATCTGCATTTTATTCACTAAGAGGCTAGTAATAATCTAGAACTGTTTTTTAGCCATTTCCTTCACCATGTACACACATTCTTTTGATGGGTGAAGGAAAGCTAATGAAAAGACTATGATAATGAAGTCATAAGAGCAATAAGAAAAGAAACTAGAAAATGACGATAGTTTTGATTATTATGGTAATCTGGAATAGGAGCAAATTATATTACTCTAATACGCACTCTGTGAAAGAAGTAAAAACCAAAACAAAGAAACCCAAGCAACTGTTAAATTGTTATAGGTGTTTAAGAAATTGCATGCATAGCAGTAAACTACTTTCCACTTACATGTTTAGGGTTGGGAAGTGATGCTTGATATTAAAAACATTGCAGCATCTCTTGTAGTAAACGCTTTCTGTCATTTAAGCTAAAGAAAGGATTTGTGTTTCCCTGTTTCTGCAAACAGAGGCATTCATCAAGTATTGCTGTAGTCATTAATCACATCCAGTGAATCTTAAGGACTAGTTCATGCTGAACTGTTGTAGAAACCACTTATATTGAACAGAAGAAAAGGAGGAAGAAGTAAAATGAATGCAACACAACTAGATGCAGTACTACAATTACTCTGTTTCGTAAGGAGTTACCTAAAGCAGCCTACTTTGGGAAATGGATCTGCAAAATTTGGTGAGAAAACTGTACAATACTGACAGAAGCCTGAGGATGAAACAGGTACATAGTATCATTCCCATTCTCCTGCAGATTGTGATATCAAAATGCGGAATGGGGGAAGGTGGTAGCTCCAGCTATGCCAGCAGAGATGGCTGTAGAAAATCTAGGCATCATTTGGATGTGAGAAAGTCAGATTTTAAGATTATTTTATTCATACCAATGATTAATCCTAGTTAAATAATAAGTTTACTGTGTTACTCCTAGCTTGGGCCAGTATTCCTGTTCTATTAACCTGATATGCACGCTTATCTGTGTTGAGAGGAAGCAAAAGCAAGTGAGGAAGATGGGAGGGTTTCTTCTGATAGCAGTTCTGGCTGAAGAGTCATCTAGAGCCTTGACTGCACCTTTGGGCTTGTTGGACTATATCAAAACCTTTGAAGTTAGCTGATGATGTGCTCTGCTGCAGATTCAGTTTATTGGTCCAGATTTGATTCTAAATGTGCTGCTGAGCTAATGGTTCACAATGGGCTTCCTGCCAGGCCAGGCCAAATGCCAGCTTGCCCCCAATTGTGTAAAACTGACAAGAACTCTGTATAGTGTTCATCAGAAAGTGTTTGCATCCATACTGTTCAGAAGTTACAGGTGTACCAATGACTGGAGGACCATTGTATGCTGTATGTAGTTGCACTGAAGACAACAGGATGCATCTCAGAGCCAAGTGTCGGTGTTCATGAACAGGTTGCCTGTCTTCAGCTCACAGAACAATAAAATCCTGTTCCCCCAAGCTTTGCGGACATTAGGCACCATTGGGCTTCATCCAGAATTGCTCCAAATTCACCACTGCTGCCACAGCCCCAGAGTTGTACCAGGAGACTGAGAAGAGTGTCTGTGCCCCATCCACAGAAGGGGGGGGGGGGGGGGGGGGCGGGTGGGGGGGTGTGTGCAACCTTCAGGCTGGGAGCGGCACAGAGCAGCCCTGACTTGGACCAACTGCTGCTACTGCAACAGCTACAGGGAGGATCCCCATGTGCTCTGTGAGAATGCTGGGATAGAAAGGCTTCGTCCTGCATCAGAAAGTTTCTGTTCTCTTCTCCTTTACAGTTCTTCCCCAGCTGCTTTGTACTTCCCTTATATACATAACAGGGCCCCAAAACTCAATTGTTGAGAAGGAAACATGTTTAATAACGCACTATGAAAAAGACGTGGTAAAAGAATTCCAATATAGATAGTGGATTTTAGTGCCAGATTGTGCCCTGGGATTCCAGTGCATATCTTTCATTAAAGCCGTTAAAAACGTTCATGTTTCAGGGAAGAATTTGAGCTTTTGACACAATTCCCTCTTTTTCTTTGGGAGCCAAACATTTTCTGTGGTAACAGAAAATATTATAACAAGAATAATATAATGCATTTAGGCATTAAAATGAATAACAGTCCTTGATCTATTTGTTGAAGATTACAGGCATGAGATGTGAAAGCTGTTAGTGGCTTAAAGATAGACATTTGGTGTAATTGGCTCTGCAGCTTTCTTTTTATTACAGAACATGAAGGATATGACTGGAGAGGTGTCCAGATCCTCACAAAACACAGAAATGTTGCTGCGCATCTGATGACCATATCTTTGGTCAGTTGTTTGCTGCATTTCATTGCTCTTTGAATTGAGTGATGTGAAATCTTAGGGCAGCATGCTTGCCACACACGAGCTGCTGCCTCCATTCCAGAGGGGTCAAAACCTTGATGGTGGTGTGTAATTGCTATATTTATAAAGGAAACATTAAGCCTGTTTCCTGTACTCACAAGGTGCTTTATGAATGAAAATGGCATTGAATGAATGGAACACTTCTTTTTCTCCCAAACGCTCAGCCCCTGAATTTCCTTATTGTTTCCAACTGGGGCAGTGTAAGTATACATAGAGAGAAACTTTGTCCAGGAAGAAGGAAATAATTAACATCCTTCTCTTCTCTCTATCTAGATGTTTAGGATAATCTCAGTGTGTTTCCATTCAGTTTGTTTCAGGAGTGGAATGGGTTGCTTGCCTGCCCCGAAGTTATGGTATTCCCTGGGGTGTAGGGAGAGCTCATGCTTAGCCCTGTGGTTGTGGAACTCTCCAGTGCCTCCTGCACTTCTGGGACTCACATCTTCAGCTGGAGGTGAGGTCACCGTGATGATGGCACTGCAGCTTCACAGGGATGTCCCTAGGAGCCCTCGAGTCCTTAGGTCAAAGAAAACTCCCTAGTGTGTGCAGATGGGTGTGAAACCATCAGAAATCTGTGTGGCAAGCTGTACCAGAAACCTAGCTTGCATTAGAGGATGTTTGTAAAAGTTGAGCCTTCTCCACAAAAATTCTGTTTTGTCAGAATCAATTATTTTTATTTGTCATCTTACAAGAGAATTCCCAGCTTCTTGCAAGCAAACATATTTTTCCCCCTTTCCATTCCTTTACATATAAGGCATGGATAATGCCTGGTGTTTATTTCCTGGGAATTCAGTGCATATCTTCAGATTTGGTCTCTCCTTTTAGGAAAATGTAACACTCTGCATTTTTGGCCGTTGAGCGGACCACAGTATCAAAGCCAAGGGGCTCTGCTCGTAGCTGCTAGCCACAGCTAGCTGGGTGTGGTTCGCAATGGTTTAAATACTTACAGGATGCCAGCAGAGGGTGAAGTGAGGCAGGGGGGAAATGAGGGAGAGGACGCGTTTGTTTGCTTGCTTTAATCTCTGCAGAACTGCAAAACGTACAGAGTTCTCTCCTCAAGGAAATATTTGGAAGTGACAGTGTCGTGGTGAAAAGGGAGGGGAGGATCCTTGCTTTTTTGTTGCTGTTGTTCAGAAGGTTTGAAATGCTTGCAACAGTTCTCCAGCATTTGCTCGAGCATCTGTGTGAACTTCCTGATCTGTGGAAGCAGTGAGCACCAACGGGAAAAGGTCAGCTCGAAACAGCCAAACAAATGGGTTCTCAATGCACCTGTGCAGCAGGTCACCACGTCCCAGCACAGTTCCTCTCTGCCAGAAATAGAATGTAGCAGGCAAACCGAGCTTCCTCAGTGCTATTGGCCATAGATCTGATGTACCAAGCTGTGTCTGGTTGCTGTACTCACCTGGTTTTCCATCAGGATTTTCTGGTCTTTGTTTTCTAGGGTTGCCCTTAGCACTGCTGAAGTTCATCTAGTAACGCAGCCTGATGGGTTTAAGCAACTCGAATACACAGCAAAGATGAATACACTCAACTGAATGGCTTGTATTTCAACTAATGTTCCCTATTAAAGTGACAGATTAAAGCAAAGACCATGCGTGTTGCTCCGCTGTGAATATCTCATATCAGCCATACCCTGGTCTGCTCCCTTCTCTCCCTTTGTCAGTGTCATGCATTTGCACCACTATGCTGTGTTTTCTGCTCCCAGGTGGTGAAAGGGAGCACCAGTACATTACAGTTTCTTTTTGGAAAGCTTCCATATCTCATCAGATCTGACACTGCAACATTTCAGCCAAGTTCCTTTTTTCATAACTTTATTTTATTATTGCACCGTCCCTCATTGAAATTTTATGGTTTGCCTCAGTTCCTGGGTCCCTAATGCTTAAAGTGAACACTGTGAAACAGTATGGAAGTAGAAAGCAGAGACCTTCTTCTATTCCATTATTTTATTTATTTATTTACTTAGTGTTCTTACTCCTTGAGAAATCTCCAAATTCGGAACTGCCCATGTCTCTAGAAGTGACACTGTATACTCTGGGGCACTGTTACACTGCTAAAAATGGAAACTTGATGCTGCTTCTTGTGGGGTGGAAAGGAAACTGCAGAGAGAGGTGGTGGCTTTACCCCAACCGCCTCATGATGCTGAGCGCTGGAGCAAAACGTTGTATAAGATCTCTGAAAACACAGCCACTTACCGCTCTTCTATGTAAATTCCAGATTACGGGCCAGATTCATTGTTGACATAAGCAGATGCAAATCTAATGAAGTCACTGCAGTTACTTCTACTTGTGCCAGAGGTGAATTTGTCCCTATTTTTGGAACACGCTAGTTTTGCTCTGCGGCACTGACACTGTGTTGTGTCAAAATCATTTCTGGTATGGTGTGGTGCTGCTGGCTGGCATGGTACTCCGTGTCAAACATCTGCTGAGCAGTGGCATTGCTCTGCTTTCTGATGGGATGTGTCGTGCTGCCATACTGTGCCTGAAGGCATCGAATAGGAATTGCTGCAGGATCTAAAGTAATGAGGAATGTGCACTAGTTGAATACCTGAATGTTTCAGCATCCTATGGGAAACAACGCTTTGCATGTCAGCACATCTACAAGCCTCTTGCAATCCCTTCAGACACTTGAGTTGTAAAGTGATGTCCAGTGCACTCCCACCTCAACACATGGTGTTGGTGTAGTAAATGGACGGTAATTCTGTTATGGCCTAGTGCTGGTTTAAATGGATTTTCTCTGCAGAAAGATACATGAGTATGAGAAGAGCTTTCTTCTACTCACAGTATTCCAGGCTTCTGTTGATCTGTACCAACTACAGGGGGATGGGGAGCCAGAGCGGGTGCAGGAGCCCCAGGGGTGATCTCTCCCTGTTGTCTAGCAACAGAACCTGAGGGAAGAGCATGGAGTTGTGTCAGGGGAGGGGCGGCTGGGGGTTAGGAAAGGGTCTGCACCAGAGTGCAGTGGGCATGGAACAGGTTGCCCAGGGCAGTGGGCACAGCCTCAAGTGCTGGAGTTCAAAAAGTGTCAGGGCAATGATCTCGGTCTTTTGTGGAGCCTGGAGTTGGACTCAGTAATCCCGTGGGTCCCTTACAGCTCAGGATATTCAATGATTCTATGATTCTATGTGCCACAGTGGGGCCGTTGCATTCAGCACTGCCAACCTCACTGTTGGGGCTGTAGAAAGTGAGGGAAGGGTGTTTCAGAGAGCCACATTGCCCAGGTTTACCCTGGACGGATAACAGTTAGCACTGGGTTTTCCTCAAATAAACCATTCAGAAGACCATATATGTGGCATAGCAAAGTGTGCATTGTTTGCATGTCAGCTGTGTATTTGAACTTCTTCCTGGCTGCACAGGTAGACAAAGGCAGATATAGAAAATGCAACTGCTATCAGGGACACATTATCAGAGCTCTATTAAAGGAGTACATACCTAGCTTAAGACCTGTATACCCCAAACTATAAAATTAAAAAAAATAAAAAAGTAAAAAAAAAATAAAAATTCAATGTACCTGCAGGAAATTAGATCTCTTTTCAAAATATTGCAGCTGAATGTTTTAGAGAAATGCTTTCTATAAACAGGGAATCCTACCAGGGTCAGACAGAGCTATTTTAACCTCGTGCATTCATCTCACTGTTCTGGCAGAGGAGACACATGTCTGTGTGTGTGTATCTACAGAGAGAGAGATAGAGTACACATTTAGAATTTTTGGGGCTTTGGACACTATTAAGTATAGGTAAACTTCAAAGCAATTCATTATTATTATTAATGAAAAATAAATTTGAAATAATTCAATTTAAAGGGAAGAAAACATGAGCAAACAAGTTCAGTGGTGCCCAGACTTATAACCTGGGGTAATGCTGCCAATGCAGACACTGACTCATTTCCATGTGAGGAATGGGATTGAAAGCTTTCAACAGCGGCACTACAGTGGAGCAGCTCACGGGCAAAAATGCACATGCAGAGGTAGGCCGTGATTAGGTTTGGTTCTATCAGCTCTGGCCCTACTCCGATTCAGAGTTTCTGTGTGGTTTTCAAGTTGAATTGCAGTGCAATTAATTGATTAAAATATGTAATTGTAGAATTGCTTGCGTTGGAAGGGACCATTAAGGGTCATCTAGACCAACTCCCCTGCAATGAACAGGGAGCATATATATAAAATAAAATTGAAAAAAATTGGTAGACCAAAGGTGGGAAGAGATTCTTCAGGGAGCTGAAAACACATCACCTTTGCCAGGTTCTACAGGACAGGATCCTTCCTTCTTTTTCCTGGATGAATTCCGCGGCTGTGCTACCAATAGCATAGGAAGCAGAGGTGGACCATGCAGGTAACTCTCATCCGGGGGTGCTGTCCTGTCCCCGCACCCGAAGGAAAAGTTACCGATAATAAATAAGGTGCCAACGGTGATGTAGCTGTTAGCCAGTTGCCCGCGCATACGCGGCAATTACAACCGCTCCGCTGGGGGACACCCGCAGGTGCCTCCGGCCGCTCTGCGCGCCCGCGGGGCGGGAGGGGGGGGCTGGGGGCGCGGCCTCCTCCCCCCCGCCCCCGCGGCCGCTCCGCCGCCACCTCCGCCGGGCGTCCCGCGCCGCAGCCGCCGCCGCGCTATAAGTGCGGGCGCGGGGCGCGGCGGCCGCCGAAGATGCGCTGGCAGTCGGCGCTGCGCGGGGCCCCGCCGCGGCCGCCTCGCGCGGAGGAGGAGGAAGAAGAGGAGGAGGGGGAAGAAGGCGGTGGCGGCGCGGGGCGACCGCGACCGCGGCCATGAGCTGCTCGGACGTGGCCATGCAGCAGCCCGGCACGGCGGCGTGCGGCGTGCCCCGCTACGTGGGCCCGCCCGCGAGGGGCTGCCCGCAGGTGAGGCGCGGGGATGCGGCGGGGAGGGCGATGGGGGTGTCGCGGCGGCCCCCCACCCCAACCCCCCCTTGGCGGACTGCACGGCGCATCGCTGCCTGCCCGGGGCGGAGACCTCCGCCCGATGCGCTGTGCAGCCCCCGGCGCGCTTTGGAGATGCGGGTTGCTCGTGAGGGTGCCCCAGAGCAGCGGACCCTGGTAAGACTTTGAAATCAATCTGAAAGCCATCCCCAGTCGTATATCTGGGGAGCGGGGCTGGCTTGTTCGGCGAGGGGAGAAAGTTGCTTCTCACCTCTGTCTCCGCTGTGCGCTCCGCATCCGCGCACTGAGCTGAACGTGCGGCCGTCACGGGGATGGGACCGCGCCGCTCCCGGCGCACCGCTCGGCTCTGCTGCGGGATCGCTGCAGAGGGTTGCAGCTGAATTTGGTGATCGGATGTATTAGGAAGGGAAAAAGAATAAAGAAAAAAAAAAAAAAAAAAAAAAAAAAAAAAGAGAAAAAAAAAAAGTGAATCAGGAAATTCTTATCAGGCTGACAGCATTTTTAGACTATGCAGTGCGTGGGTGAAGTGGGACTAATATTGACTTGGCCCTAATGTAGTCATCTGAGAATACATTTTTTGGTTGTTGCTGCATTCCATAAGGTTTTATCATTATTATCCATGAAGATTGTTTTCTCCGTACATGGGAAGTGACCCCTAATATCAACTTGCCTGGGAGACACAAATATGGGCTAAACCATTAAAATTCCAATCGTTTGTTATTGTTTTTTCTTTATCGTTGGGAGGAAGAGATTTTGTAGTGTGGCACCAAAGTGGACTTTGCCAGGTTGCTCATGTTATTCTCTGTAAACATGGGCTCTGGAAAGCTTACGAGTTTAGTCTGTTCCTGCATGCCTGTGTTATTATTTCTTCTCTAATCTAGGTCACAGCTTGCAGAAACCTCACCTTGTTCAGTGGTTTTTAGCTGTGAACTTTGAGTATCTGGAGCTCCTGTTAGTAGCCTGCTCAACTTAGAGGGAAAATAAATAACCTCAAATGATTAGACTCCTTGATTAAGGGACCTAGAAGTAGAAAAGTGTGATTGGAACTTCAGGCCTGGGTGGACTTTTTGGCACTTGGCTCTGCAGGCGCTTGGCTGTGTTTCGCTTCCAGCTTTTGCAGCACTTCATACATGAAAATCTCTTGAGCACCCATTAGCGGCTGCATCGCACTCCCGTGCGGTTGCTCTTTATTTTTAAACAGAATCAAGAAGTTTCTCCATCAGCTGTAAGCAGTACCACATCTGAAACATCCCAGAGGCACCGTAACGAAAGCCAAAGTTTCTTGAAATTTCATTTTAAATAAACTGAGTTCCTGTGGCTTGTGTTATTTATGAAATGTGGAGGTAGATATGCAAGGCAAGAAACACAGCTCTATTGAGCCAGTGCAGCTTATGAGCCGTGGCCAGTACAATGTATCCCGTTTCCATCAAAAAGCATTCTAGAACTCGCTGTCCCACGCGTTATTGACAGTTTGTTTTAGTTAATCCTGCTTGTGCCAATTTCGCTGGAACATTTGGAGCTGGAGGGTCTTCACAAACCAGTTAAGCGTCAGGCTGGAAAACCGAGCTGCTCTTGCTGAACTGACTGCTGTGCCCTCTGCCTCCAGCAGCCACCGTGTGTGGGGCTGTTGATGGGTTTTCCCTTAATCCAGTGCTTTTTAAAAAATAAGAAGTAGTAAAGATGGGATGGACTCCCCATCTCTCTGCAGTCTTGGTGGAATGATTGCTTAGATAATGCATGGCATTCTGTGAGTCTCTGTTTCTTCCAAATCATCCTGTCAGGAACATTTAATCAAGTGGTAAATAGCCTAAGAAAGAGGGAAGAAGAGTCTGTTGCCAGGTTTTTGTTTCTCCTTCCACATGTGTTCAACATGTAAGATACTCCTGCGCTCTTTGTAGGGATGATGACCATTTTAAAGAATGCTCTTCTTTGCTGGAATCAAAACTCTGGTTTAAAAATAACAATGAGGGAAGATGTATTAGGGGGGCATCTTTAAAAATAAAGCCCTGCACTGAAGCTGATGGAGCAGAGCTCACCCTTAAAATATCCAAGGACTCCATTGGGGCATTTTCCAGTGCCCTCATGCTACTCTGTTGTCTTTCCGTAGACAGTGAAGGAATTTGTCTTTCTTGACTCTCCTGTTAATTTCAGTGAACTGGAAGTGTGTTGCTCTAATTAAAGCTTATGCATCTTCGTAGATCCTTGTAATGCATCTGTCTCAAACACAGTGGGTGATGGCAGCTTTCCGTGTCACTTTGAAGATCAAAGCAAGCTCCTTAGCAGCGGAACTGTCATTGTAGATGGACAGGTTTGAGCTCTGGGCATGGCACCTCTCTGGAGGTCACCTCTTTCTCTTTCTGTAGGTTGCATGCTGCACATGGGGGTATGGAGAAATGTCTCTGTCAAGCAGCTGACACTGTGTCGCTGCTCTGTGCTGAACAGGGTTTGAACCGTCAGCTCCTTTTTGTACGTACGGATCTTGGGTTGCTCTGAACAATGGATCTATATGTGCCCAGATTGTATTTTATTTTGTTTTTCTCTTTAGAGAATGCTCCATCACACCTTCTTAAAAGATACTCCACTCCAAAGATACTCCAACATTTCTCTTCTGTAGTTGTCACTCTACTGAATCAGTGCAGATCTGATTTTGCCTTGCACAGTGATGTGGAGTTTGTGGAACCTCCACTTTAACCATTTTGCAGCAGAGAAAGAACATGCTAGCAACTTAATTTAGTTGAGACTTTTTCTTTTAAAGTGCTCAGTGGACTGAAGCCTGAATTCCTATTGAATGTTAATGGGAGTGAAGACTTAGCACCTTAAATCTTTGAGACTGCTGAAGTCCAGGATGTTTTCTGAAGAGAAATGAGAGTATGTATATTTAGGTGCTTACGTGGTGCCACAGAGAACTAGTGAAAATGGGCTGGGACCCTATTCCTGCAGATAAAAGGGGATTTCTATGTTTCTTTGCCAAAATACAGAGTGCATGTGTGATGGTGTTACAGTAAGAACATGTTGTCGTACGTGGTACGGAGTCATGCTTGCCAGACTGTAAAGCTCTTTGGTATGATGAAATTAAAACCCCTCTCAGAATTCTGAAACTGCAGTAGTAAGCCTCGGATTGCTTATATCTTGGGTGAGGAATGGGTGTAACAGAGTTGCTTGTTCGAAGAGTCTGGAAACACCTAATTGGCGAGGAATTCTGATTTATTCTTGGTGCACAAGGAACGCAATGACAGCTTGCCATACTCTGTCATCTAGGGACAGTTAGCTGCAGAGCTCAGGCTAAGGTAGGATTCACTGTAGCTCACTCACAGTTGAGCTTACGACCTTTTAAATGGGAAGTTACAGTAAATGGTAGTTTTGGAACATCTCCATGGTATGTAGATGTGGAGAACTAAGCCAAAGAGCATCCTTGCTACATCAGTCTTGCATAAAGAGCTGTGATATGCTCAAGTCAGACTTTCTTCTGGCAGTGTTGTAGACAGACTTTTTCCAGATAAGGGCTTGTCTCTGTTTGTAAATTAGGTCACTAACTCAACTCTTCCTTCCAGACTGACATCGCTGCAGACAGGGACAAGTCATGCTCACTGTTGTGTCAGCTGGCTGTAGCTAAACCCATGCTTTTACAATGTACTTCAGTTTTCCGGAAAAGTTCTTTGCATCACATGTTTGCAGCTTTGAAGACTGAGTTATAATATTGATGCTGGGTGTGCGTGGTCCACAGCATCCGATACAGCAGATAGCAAGGCAGACAGTAGCTTTGTGTTTCGTTTTTGTAGCTCAGCTCCTTCCTAAAGGCTTGTTCTGAAGTCTGATGGGTGCCCTGCAACTGACTTCACTACAGAATGAAGGGCTTCAAAGGCTGCTTTCAGAATTACAGGTTGTAAAGCTGGGATTAAGTCCTCAGGGGGGGGACGGAGGGGAGGAAGAGGTTGGTTGGTTTCTTTTTTTCAGGGAAGAAGTTTGTTGTTCTTGCTGTTTTAATCCCATGAGAGAGGACCTGCTAATATCAACTATTTGTCTTGCTTTACTGGTTATTCTGATCTGGATCAAACTCTATTTCTTCTTCCTATAAATACGTACAAATGGAACTCTAGGGTTTAATGCACAGTTCTGTTCAGAGGTACCCCAATAGATTATAAATTCAGACTATTTCCACTGCTTCCGTCTATCAGCTGAATATTGTGAGGTCTTCCGGCTCTGCTGCTCTAAATCCCATCTTTCACCTGGAAGAAAGAGCATTGCTTTGCTATCTGTTTGCTTGTTTGCAAGGGCAGTAGTTAGCATTTCCTATTTTCAAGGCACGCATCAAATGCTGCTTTTAGGCTTAGCATTCCACTCCATGATTACATGAAATTGTCTTCTTGAATACTTTCTGTGTTATCAATATGAGCCTGCTTGGCAGGCAGCTCCACAAATGAAGTACTGCCCGTGATTTGCCTAGGGTTTGTTACTGAAATTCCTTCTCAGAAGCTCATGTCGAATGACAGCCTTTTTCTCAGGATAGGGTCATATAGTATTTCCTCAGTGTAGTGGTTCTTTATTTTTGGTTCCTGTTCTTTCTCTCATAATGGAAAATCTGTAACAGGTGGCCACAGGCACACCAGACTTTCATGTTTGGGAGCATAAAGGACCATATGCTGCACGATGGCATGTATGGAGATAATAAGTTGTAGGAACAGGCAACCAGCTTATATGTAATATAAGAGCCAGCCTGAATTTTTGGTTCAAATTCAGCTTAACTAAAACTTTTTCCAATCTCAGCTGTGCTTTGGTAGTTTTTAGGGTGTGCTGCCCACTGGCCGCTTTCAGCTGGAAGTGAATTTTTTTTTTTCAGTTTATGAAAAGGAATGTTCTGACATTTTTACCAGACACCCCGGCTGAGATCCGGGACCCTTGAAGTCAATTGGACTTTTGCCATTGGCTTTCATGTGGCTGGGGCTTCTCTGCGTGAGAGCAGTTTCCCCTGGTTCTGAGTAGGGTATGTCAGAAAATAAGGGGAATCAGCAAGACAGAGATTTTGTGGGAGATTTTGATCCACATGCTTTCTTAGCGTGAAAGATCTGAGCGGTCCGTTTTTCTCCTAAAGGCTGCGTGATATTATCTGGCATAAACAGTCTCTTCTTTAATATTTCCGTATTGCTGATTAGCTTTGGACCTTTAGCTTCCATTTGTTAGACCACTTGCAGTAAGTGCTTGAATTCTCTTTGGAATAAGTCTGTTTGTGAATATACAAAACATGTAAAATAATACTGGTTTAAGCTGAATGCAGCCTACGCTGTAAGTATTATTTACTTGGAGATCAGACCATTCATCCCTCAGCCGCAAACTCGTGTCTGTTATTGAATGTGGTATCAGATGCTACAAACACCGAATTTCCCATTTCTCTACCTATTTTCCAGAAGCTAATCTGACTTTAAATTATATACTCTGTGTCTTGGCCAACTTGAGATTTTCCGTGTTTGTTTTGTTTTCTTTTTCAGGGGCTTCTGACCTCAGTCTCTAGCCTTTAAGGAAAAAGGAGGTATAATTTATAAACATTTAAAAATATTACAAATAGGAGCATAGGCAAGGCAGACGCAGTGTTTGGTCAGCATATACACTTTATAAAGACCTTACAAGTACTATTGACTGCTTAGATATATGCTGGAACTCCTTGTAAGAAAGAAATAGAAGGGAAACCAGACTAGCCTGGCTTCATTATCAGAAACCTAATGTGTGATGTTTGGATTTTTTCTCCTTTGGTTTTATTTCTTCTTCTCTCTCTCTCATCAGAGTGGTACAAATTAATTCAGTTGATGGTCTTGCCTGCTTTTCCACTCATTCAAATGCAGCTGAAAATGCAAAGAAAAGATTACTCTTATGGTCAGAAAAAGTGATGCAGAATTTACACATACACAGAGATGTAATTCTAAGGGAGTTAGGGAGAGAAAAAAAATATTTTTATTAAAGAATGTGTACAATATAAAGGGCATATATCCACTGTATACAAAGAAAATCTGCTTTATCTCTGTTATTGCTTCTTATTTATAAATTTAAATCTCTGTAATTACAGGAAAGAAAAAAAAATTGGCTGATATTTTTAACCTGAAATACAAATTAAGTAGATCTGTATCTGATCACAGGGTTGATTCGGTCTTGAAGCATCTTTTAATTAGGAGATCTCATTCTTTGCAAAAAGCTCTCCACAAAACATAACTTTTCACTGTAAATTTCTTTAGTCTGTACACAACCCCTTATAGTTGTCCATCAGTACTGCTATCTTTTTTTACATTAAAAAAAAAAGGACTCAGATTCAGTGTTTTCAAAAACAGCTAGTATTTGGAATGTCTTGTAATGACTACCCATGGACTGGAGGGGAGGGAAGAGAGTTGAAATGGAAAATGAATTAGATTCTTAGGCTGTAGAAAGGGGAACATTCCTGCACAGAGAAGCGGCTCTGGAGATAAGTTTTAATTTCCTGAGCTCCAGTCTCTATATGGGAACATTGAAAGACTTCCTTCCTGATAACCAAGTCAAGCCAGGGGCTATATTAAACGATGTGTTTCTGTATATAATTGTGTGCTTGTGTATGTATTTGTGTACTTGCAGTATAGATACAAATAGAGTATCTATAATGATAGAAGCCAACTTTGAAAGTGTGTTGCATGTATTTGGAGTCTAGCAGACATACTGTATCTGAGATGTTGTAATATATCAGTATCTATTTGGATATCTTTAAAGGATCCCTTCCACACTTTGTCTCTATTTAAAATAAATAAATAGTTAAAAATAAAAAAAATTAAAAGTCTCCTTCCCAACCACTTTTTAGGAGGATCTGAGTTGTACTGAACCTTTAAACATTTTCAAGCCACTGAGATGGATGTGTTATCAATTTCTAATGTGTGCTTCTCCTGTATGTATGATACTGTGATAACTGTTTCTGTCTTGTTGAGGTCTCATCCTATGATGATTTTTTAGACAAAACCATAAAGGTCACTGTGGGTAACATGTGAGCAATGCAGGAGCAAATGTTAGACTTTTTTTTTGGTTGGTTAGAAGATGCACAAAACACCAAGAAAAGCACAGGTCACTTCAAATTCTACGTGTATAAATGTGAGTCTGATAGCTTCAGGCTACCTTTCATTTTAGCAATTAGTTTCTAGTAAAATTTTATTATTTTGTTCTTTTTTTTATTGCTGTTTATTTGTTTTGTTTTTTAACATCTTGTGATAAAGCTGTATGTCCTTATCTAAGCAGAACCACAGTACTACTTATTTGTGAAATAGAGATTTATTTGAATTCCAGGTCCTTTGCCTGGATGTTCCAGGCCAGAAAAAAAAAATTTGGTTACATCCCTGAGTGCAGTTTTTACAACAGCATTAGAATTTAAGTGTAGTATATTACTGTTGTATGTGTTCCAGTTAATCTACCACAATGCGAGATATATCGCATAATTGCTGTGAGCCTGTAGTATGGTAGGGATTAGTTCCACTTGCAAGTAGATCTTTCTTACAATTAATTGGTTTTAATAATCACTTGGTTATTAAACCACTAATAAGAATTATCTCCTGAATTTCTATTTTGTATTACAAAGGGATAATTTTTGTCAGCTTATGTGATTTTAGAAAGCATTGAATGTACGTACATTGATAGTATTCAAGATTGGAGAATGACTTACAATTATTTCTAGGTCTGACAAACGTACTTATTGTATAACTGGAACTTTATAGACTGCGTAGTTGTTTAACTTGCTCTATAGAACAACTCTGGAAAAAGAGAAAGAAGCCATAAAGTTAAAGGGATTCTGATGCCGCTAAACTGTTGCCAAGCAAACCATAAAAGATAAGTCAAGCTGTAAGACTATAGAAAAGTGATGAAATACTTCTGCATATGTGCCGTAGTTGTTTTGGGTTCCTGAAGCTGCTTGTGTGTAAAGTCAGCTGTGGAAATGGCTAGCTGGCTAAAAGCTATGATTCCTGCAGCACAACTGTTGTGGGGAGATTTTTTCTGTGAAAACAGTTGTAAAGTGGAACATCTGAAAAATATGTTCCATGCAAAATGGATCTTCACACACATTTATTTTGACATTTAGGTTTGATTCGAGAGAAAGAGAGAGGATTCTGAAATAGCTGTTCACAGATGGCTTGTGCTAGCTTGATTTTTTAAAATGCTTCTCCATGTTTTTAGTTTGGAGGGATTTTTTTTTGCATGTGTTTGCAGACTTGTCAATCCCCCTCTTCCTCCAGATCATATGTTTAAATTTTTTATTGCTCGAATTTTTCTCCTTTCCTCCAGAAATTTGTGTTAAAACAAACAAACTAAAAAAGAAAACTCTACCAACCAAAAATTCTCACTACCTGAAGAGTTACTTTTTCATGATAGAATCCAAGCAGCCAAAAAACAAAAAATTCCTGGCCTTAAGTAACAATTTATGTATTTTGTGGATTTCTGAAATGCAGAGGAAGGCTGTTAATGGATCATGGAGTTCACCCACTGTTCTGTCCTCTCACTCAGGAGAGTGCAGTTGGGAAAGTTGGGTGGACATTCAAGTAGAAGAATGAAACACAGAGTTTGTGTACTTGGCCACCTGTCTGCAGGGCTGGACACAAACTCTGCAGCCCTTTCTGATGAGAATACCCTTCCAGGTGGGAGTCAACAGTGAATTGTTAGACTCTGCCTGTTTTCTTCTGAAGGTATTGGGTGAAAGCCATTGCTGTTAAATTGCTTGTGTCTGTGAAATGTGTATGAGAAGCAGGTCCATCTGTGTGTGAGGAATTAAGATTCTAAGTAAGTGCCTCTGGTAATCTCTTCTTTGTAAAATGTTGGTGCAAAATATCCCTGTGGCCCAACTGCAGTGAACTGAAATTAGTATTCAATGCATTCAGTTATTTTTCTTTAAGGAAAACAGATGTTGAGCTTGTACTGAATGCCTTTAGTGATACATCTCTTTTTTGTTTTGTTTTTAATCCCAGAAGAAATTAGCTGTATACAACAAGATGCAGGAGTCTCTGGAAGTGACCCTTCCCAGCAAGCAAGAAGAGGATGAGAAGGATCAGCCAGCTGAGATGGAGTACCTGAACTCTCGCTGCGTCCTTTTCACCTACTTCCAGGGAGACATTGGTTCAGTAGTGGATGAACACTTCTCAAGAGCCTTGAGCCAAGCCAGTAGCTTCAACCCAGAAACTGCCCTTACCAAGAGCAAGGCAGGGCTAAGTCCTTTGTGGAGAGGTAAGAGGAGCAGGAACTTGGGCTGTATCATAGTAATGGATATTACATTGCAGCTGAAATTTTGCCCCCCTGTGCATGTTCAAAATTCCCCCCCAAAATTGAAAGAAATGAGGAGCTGCTTGTGATTGAGTGATCTGGTGCATTAAAGGAGAAAGAGTTTCCAAAGGCATGGAAGAAGCAGGAGTCTACCACTCTTCCCATAGCCCATGGTTCCACAAAGGCCTGGAGGGAGCCCAGATGAGCTGATGTGGCTTCACAAATGTCTGCTGCAAGATCTGAGGCTTATTTTTAAGCTCTAGGTGTGAAACTTGGCCTGCAAGCCAAGCTGTTTGGGATTCTGTCCTTGGAAGTGAGGAGACCCATGCAGCATACTTGGGTAACTTTGCCAGGTAATTAGGATTTGTCTGTGGCTGCTTTCTGGGTAGGGAGGCGCCGGCACAGGCTGGAAAAGGCTTGGATGAAGCTCTGGCTCATGTGGCTGTAGCCTGCTTTCAGAAGAGCTTGTAGGAGAGATATGGCCTTTGCTACTGATCTCCTGCATATCAGATAAGACTGACAGTACTTCACTTCCTAACAGGAAGTAGAAACATGGTCAATGCTGTGAAGCATTTGAACAGCACTGTAATATTCATGCTTCATAATGAATATAAGCATTTTCAGTGTAATATTGAACAGATATTGCCAGATGAGCTAGGTAGATCTTACAGATAAGATTTTAAAGTTGGTGGCTGGAGAAAGATATCCATTAAGACACTGCTTCCCTTGTGTTGCGTGTGCCAGTTTGTGCAGTTTTTCAGATACACAAAAGATCATGAATTCTGATCTCCTTATGTGGACTGTCGAAAGGATTGTAAAAGAATAGTGAGTAATGGCCTTGCAACAAGCTGAGTGAGAGATTCTTGGAGGATCCTTGTAGGAGTGGTGGTGTTCATAATCAGTGATGCTGAGGTGAGAGTACTTTAATGAAAGTCACAGATAATAAAGAGAGGATTTTTGGAAACCACTGTGAAGAGAAAAATAGCACAGAAGAACTTGCTTTCCAGAAGGATAATGACAAATCCAAGGAAGTTTAAGAAAAGGTCAGCACAAGTGGCTAGGGAGCTAGAGGAATTTATGGCTTCAGACGAGACCATTAATGTTAATGGGAAATTTTCCGTTGACTTGACTGAGAGTAAAACTGAATCTGTGCTTACTAAAAAGGAGACTGGAGCATTTATAAATGACCCTGACATACTGTAAGTGTTTTAGAGGTGGGATCAAGGCAGTCACTAGAGATCCCTGCCTACAACAGACCTTCTCTACTGGATGTTGAGACATATCTCAGGGTGGGGGTTGTGTTCTTCTCTTCGGCCTCAGACATAGTCTGTTTTGCTCTGACCCTCTCAGTTGTACATGACTCTACAGAGGTCTCTACAAGCGTCAAGGTTATCTGGCACAGCAGTTCCTCACACATGCTGACTCCTTAGCCACGATGCCCCATGCCATTGGAGCATGGAGGTCTGCGTGTCTGGAAAGTGTTCCAAGAATAAAGTAAGAAAATATGCCCCTTGTTATCGTTACACCTGCTGAAGCAGTGTGAAAATACCCAAGGAGGTTGCTAGGCAGGGCTGCTTGCTTCTGCACTGAAGACTCTAGGGAAGATCACCATGTTTGCTTCTTCAAAGAAGAGATTTGGCCAGGGCTTTATTGGACCCAAGTGAGCTTCTGAAACATGACTGTTTGAAAAAGTGGAGAAAGAATGATGCTAATGCTTTAGACTTTTTGTTCATATACTATAGTTGAAGATGCTCATTTACAGCAAATGCGTATGAATTTGCATTCCATTACCTTAAGAATTTAAAATATCATTAGATTGAAGATCTTTTATGAATAAACTTTGTGGAAAGCCTTTTTGTCAATAAATAAGAAACCATGATTAATAAATAATGAATTGTCAATAAATTATTAAAATATCAATTTTAAAACAATTAAGAAGATTTTTCTGTATTAGAAAGTACAGATTTAACTGGAAAATGTGTGTAAATTAGCTGTCTATTCAGCTCATTGTATTATAATTCCTTTACCTGAAAGGAAGGACTAGCAGTGTTTTCTGCTTATTTTTCATCTAAGTTGTAGCTTTTTTTAGTGTCTTGATGGATATGCAAAGTATGATTTTAAATATGGTATTATTACATTTTTTGTTTTAAGGAGGAATTTTGCTTTTGTGTAGAAAAGAGAATCAGTTGTCTATTTTATATAGAAAATACTGATCAGATTAAGCTAAAATTATCTTCAAGATTGACTTTCTACAAATTATAGATTCCTACAGACTTAGGTAACATGAATGCTGAGTACCTGATGCACCTGAAATCTTTCTTGGGGGCTACACTTAAACAAATGTTACCTTTGTAGTATTTTTATCAACATGTTTTTTCCTATCCAAAGGGGAATTATCGTTTTCTTGCGGGTTGTTATTTTTCCCCTCTTGCCTCAATGGAAAAGTAATGCGCTTCAGAAAATTCCATACATTGTCTTCTTTATGGCATGTGGGCATTGGCATGTTTTCCTTGTGTGTTGGCCAACCACTATTAACATTTGCGTTAGTCACCACTTTGTGGTATCTGAGATCTTGCCATCTCCCTACCTCCCTCCACTTCAGAGTAGGAAATAGTGGTAACCGAATATCTTTCTTGGCACACAATTTTGGTTATATACCTCCTCCTTCCCCCTCTAAAGCCTCTGGAAACTACTCAGTTTTTTTTGTTTTGTTTTGTTGTTTTTTTCTTAAGGACAGGGCTGAAATATCTCCATTGCCATGTCTCATAGAGGCCAAGCATTTGGCATGGTAACATCTGTAAATGTAATTATCTGAGCTAACTACGTTAGAGGAAAGAACAACCTTCAAGCACAGAGGAAATGTATGGTAGTTGTGGGTTGTGCTTCAGTACAGAGATGGTTCTTCTTGATGGTGATATACACAATGTTTAGTAGTATCCTCTGTGAGCATTCAGGTTGGACGAAGTTTCCTTGCAAATTCATATAATGTGAATGGGCATTGCACCCCAAGTGATATGAGTTCAGCTTGGCCAAAGAGGTTGTCTCAGTGGTGGGTGAACCACGACAGTTTCTGACAGTGGCAACAGCTTTGTGAAATGGACATGGGTTTGACAAATTGGGATGATCAAATGTGTTTGCTGTGGCCTAGATCTGTTGGTGAAGTCAAGCTGATATGCAATCTGGGATGAATTCGTATTGGTAAATTCAGTGTTTTTAAGTGTACCCTCCTGAAATTAAAATTATCGTGCAGATAGTTTGTGGTTTTCTGCCCTTTCTTGAAGTGGGGTGGTTTGGATATAGGGCTTTTCCATTCTGATAATAGCCAAATGGTTTTCAAAAACTCCCCACGACAGTGATTGATTTTCCAGAATACTGACAATACATTATCAAGCTGTTTCCCTGTTGAGCAGTGAGGAAAATAACAGACTGGGTATGAAGAAGCTTGTTTTTGCTTTTCTTTTTTTTTTTTTTCAACCCTACTACCAACATTAAGCCCTGTGCACTCTGTGTCTCAGTCTAATCCCTTGTAACAAGGAACAGTTCATAAGTGATGAACAGTACCAGTTTCAGAGGGGTGCTGAAGCTTCTGTTAGATGCTTGAAGCTCTCCTCAGTCTTCTAGTATGAATCACAATAGAAATATAATGCTAAAAAAAGAAACAATCTTTTGAAGAAGGCCATATTGCAGTTTGCTAGATAGGCTTGCAGCCTATGAGAGGGTTTGGCACAGAGATAATTCTGTACAATTGTCCACAGTGCATTTGTAAAGGTATTTCCAATACCAGAAGTTAATCAGACTCATTAAACTCCCTAAATCCTGGCCAATTGTTGTGTGGAAAAAAAATCGTTATTTGAAAAGATTTTAAAATAGATACATGAGTGTTCTAGTGATACAGTGAGAAAACACTTTTACAGTTTTTGTTTCCAAAATATTTTATGTAAGCAAAGTTTAGAGGCAGGAGTGTTTGAAGAATCTGTTCATTCTCAATGATGTCTTCACTCAAATCTCATTCCAGTTGCTTGTTAAACTACGCAAAACAAAAAGTCGTTAAGGAAAAATATTATAAACATTTTTGTAAATGCTGTACGAGGAATAGAGAACTCCTCACCTTGTCAAACATTACGTTTCCCTGGCTTTATTTCTTCATTGGCTATTTTTATGACTTTGTTCTTTCATCAGAGGTCCTGTATTTTTATGTTTCCATCTTCGACCAAAAAAAAACCCACCAAAACCAACCCAAGCTATTTGAGCTGTGACATATTGCATGAAGCAGTGCTTTCAAACATGAGTTGGCAAGAGCGATATGTGAGTGGAGATGCCAATACTGTCCTACGCATCAAAAACACTAACCGCACCTTCAAAAGAGGAATTTTTAGAATGTGATTTCATTATGTGAAGTTATTGGAATCCATTTAAATACAAGTTGAGCCTTAGCTGTAAGAAGCAGCAAGTCTTTTATTTCTGACAAAGACTATTTTCAGCTACATAGGTGATGTTGTTTGCCTGACAACAGGCAATGTTATGTATTCTATAAGAAAATAACATGAGGTGCATTCAGTTGATCACTAGCCCATTAAAGCATGCCATGAATTTGAAGAGAACTGGTATTATTCCAATAGCAAAATGTCTCATTCTGCATTGTGAGCTGGTTCACTGTCCTCAGAAGCATTTAGAATCACAGCAGCTGCCTTTCTAAATGATAAGTTCTGGTCTGGTCAGGAGATACTATCTCTTCCTGATTCCTGTGTCAAGACCCTGAGAGAGTTATGACCCATCAGCATGGAGAAGTCTTCTCAAGGATGTCTTATATGTGTGTAAAAACCTGATGTGAGGAAATGAAGATGATGGAGTCAAGCATTTCTCAGTAGTGTTTGTTGACAGGACAAAATGCAACAGGGCATGAATTAGAAAACAGGAAATTCCATCTGAACACAGGAAAACATTTTGCTTGTTTGTTTGTTTGTTTGTTTATTGTAAGGGTGATCAGTCACTGAACGATGTTGCCCAAAGAGGGTATGGAGTTTGGTTCTTGTCCAAAATATGATGGAATGTCATCCTGGACAATATGCACTAGGTGACCCTGCTTGAACAGGATTGGACTAGATGATCTTATGTGGTTTTCTCCAACCTCAACCATCCTGTGATTCTGTAATTAATCTGTAAGCTTGGGTTCAGCGTTATAAATTTGAGAGTAGAAAATTATTGAGGGGTTTTTGTCATTGAATTGTTCTTCCAGCTTCAGTCATACTTATTTTCTCTCCTCTCTTCCAGAAAACTCAACAATATCAAGCCAAAGGAGCAGTTTCCCAACTTCGTTTTGGACCAGCTCTTATCAGCCTCCCCCACCACCATGCTTAAGTGGAGTACACCCCGATTTCCCCATTACTGCACCAGGCACCTTCCCAACACCAGATCCCAGCAGCTGGCCAGGACACAGCCTTCATCAGACTCCACCTCCTCCTCCCCCTGCTGCAACTGAATCCTGGCATTATCCTTTAGCATCTCAGGTGAGCCCTTCATATGCACACATGCATGACGTGTACATGCATCGCCATCACCCTCATCCACACATGCACCATCACCATCCCAGTTCGCACCGCGACCCCCGCTATGGGTCTCTGCTGATGCCTTCAGTACGTGCAGCCAGGATTCCTGCTCCTCAGTGTGACGTGACTAAGACAGATCCTGCTGCTGTCACCAGCGCTACCTCAGCATGGGCTGGAGCCTTTCATGGAACGGTGGACATTGTGCCAAGTTTTGGGTTTGATGCAGGTAAGTTTGTTCAGTTGTGTCTGTGGCTTGTTTTAGAAGGAAGAACTTGAGAAAAGCAGTGTGGAGTCCCTGCAGCTGAAGTAGGGTTTTTTCTCAGGGCCTTCTCCAAATACGTTTCCAGATGGGAATCCCTCCTGAAATTGCTGTCAGGGCAGACAAGCTGTGAAACATCCAGCTCTCTGCCTTTTACTGAAAGACCTCGGTCACTCTTGGTCCCATTCGAGCCAAATGAGTTGTAGTGTGATACACTCTTTTTTTACTGGTTTAAATCTTGTGGGAAATAATTAATTGCAATTCCATGTTGAAGCTTCCAGCTCGTTCAGCTAGTTAGTGTGTCTGTTCACCAAAATATAGCTCCAAAGAGGACTGAACTAATAACTCCTCAGTACACAAGGATTGCATCTTACTGATCTAAATTGGAACAGACCAGCATTTCCTTCCTCTGTGTATCTAGGTGTCATACAGAGCGGAGATGCTGCTTAAGCTGCACTCACCATCACACTAAACTTCATCCTGTAGGTTCTAGGCAGAGATCTCCAAATTAGATTTATTCTACCTCTGTCCATGGGACTGCCTTCATAAACTACATCTGCTGCATCATAGGCAAGTTTTGACTTGAAGGCTCTCACTTCAGTATTAAGAGCAGTCTGGCAACCCTCACTGTTCTTCATAGTCACTTGGTGTCAGAGGATGGGTGATACATTTCCAGCATCTCCTTCCACACTCATGTACACTGTTATGGCCTTCTTTTTCTGCTTGGTACCTATCTGACCAGCAGATATCCTTACAGATTACTACTTAAACAACTTTTATTACTTTATTAAGGAAATACTGCATTTGCATCTCACTTCTTAAGATGTCTGTTTTTGTCTTCTTGAGGCTGTCTTCTTGGTAGCTCTAGCTGACCATTGTATGAGAAGAGCTTCCTTGCTTTGATTAGCATGTAGGAGAACAAGGAATTGGTGGTGGGAAAAAAGTGCTGTTTTTTAAATATGAAATATTAGCAACCATATCCTAATTATTGCTAAGTGAACCTACTAAAAACCTCTCTTCTTTTAATAGTAACTGAGAACCAGTAACCTCTTCTAAATACCATGCCACTTGCTCCTTCAAGAGTTTAAGAAAAAGAGCAATAAGATTCTTAATACCAGACAATTTTATATTTATTAATAACATTTCCAGCCATGCAGATGATACAAGAGGTATTGTGTTTTATGCTTGTAAGAATAAGATGGTAATCTAACAACATTGTGACAGAAAGTTCTGACAAATTCCATTATGGAAGTTGCTTTTTCTGAAGCAGGAGCAAATTGCTTTTGCCACTGATAGAGGGTCCCAGACAGCTGATCTGACAGTGGCCCCAGCAGTCCAGCTTCGGAACTCTGGAAGTTGACTTACCTTTTGGAGGATGGAGCAGGGACTGTATCAAGAGCTATTAGTCAAGAAGAACCACTTCCTGAATCTTGCCTAAGCTGTGAGTTATTCCAGCGCTGGGCAAGTTGGCTTGCTTACTGCTTCTTTGTTCTTCTCATAAGCCAGGTGATCTTCCTTCAAGAGTACAGTACCTTGAAATAGTCTGTGGGTCCTAGCACTGCCTTTCAGGGCTAATATAGCTTTTGCCTGGTGCTTCATGCTCCTTGTGAAAATTCCTGTGGAAGGGTGCAGCTGTATACTAATTTCCTCAAGACCCTGATTTGACAGTTCTTACCAATATCTTGCATGTCTTATAGTTGTCCATTCAGGGTGGGAGCAGCGGGGAAAGCATGGACAGTCAGTTTCTGGTGCATGCTTATTGTGTAAGTCCATGAGTTCCTGTGAGAGAAATAAAAGAGGAAAACTGATGTGTGACTGCTTTGTAGAAACAGAGGATCTCGGCAGAGATCTTATTTTTTTCCCTTTCCTCTCCAAGGTAGGGTTTTTAATGCATAAGTCTCCACATCACACACAATTTCATTATATATATATTTGCTGAGGGTCAGTAACCTCAGCAGAGAGACTGAAAACTGGAGGGCTTGGAAGAAAGTCTTCTTGGAAGAGGTTTCCCCTAAGTAAGGTCACAGTGGCGGAAAACCTCAGTTCTGGAATTCTTTGCCCACAACTCCCGGAGAATAAAAGACATCAGTCCCTGGAACTATCAGCGTGTTGGATTCTATAAGCTTCAGGTGATTTATATGAAAGAAAAAAATCAAAAACCAAAAAACCAAAAACCAAACTCACCTGAAAAAAGCTAGCAGAGGGTGTTTTTCTTGGCCCTTCAGATATGTATATGCAAATGATTTTTTTTTCTTGCCCTCTTACATTAAGTCACATTTCTTATGCTACTGCCACATGGGATTATAGAAACATTTGCAAAACTTTTCATGCTGAATTAAATGGAGTGATATCTTTGGGATCAGAGCAAGCTGGCTGTAATTTTACCCTCATCCAGCTACATTGTTGCATCTCTGCCATGCAAAGCCAAATATGCCATCTCCTGAATGGATGATGCTGAATCCCTGCAGAGGTTAAAAGAGGGTTCCCCTTTCATGCTGGGTGTCATTTGGGAATTTGTTTCAGAACAGATTGTATGGGACTTCAGCATCTCACTGTTTGCAAGGGTACTATAATATTGATCTGTCATGCACATCTGTTCGAATTTACAATGTCCTGTTTTAGAGGGATGAGTAGGGATTTAAGTACCTGATTCCCATTAAATGTGGCTTAATCCTCATGCTGTATGTTGCAAATTAACCCTTTTGGGAGCTTCTGTGTTGGCGCAAGTGGGATTAAAGAAAGCACTAGCCTAAATCAAATCTGCAGCAACCTGTTATGCTTGTGGCTTCTGGTATACCGTGCCTTTCCAAAGCTGAAGTGCTCAAAATAAGGATCAGTTTTGTATCAGTCACTGAGCACAACCTGTTTGTAGATTAAGCCTTAAATTCTCAGTCCTCCCAGTGCCAAGCAAAGCAAGTTCAGCCTCTAACATGCTGACAGCATGACAGCAGCTCATGGCACATGTAGATGGAGACTGCAGAATCCTTGTGTTCATATTAAGGGTGTGCCGCCTGAGTTGGGCATGTAAAACCAGGGAGAATTTCTGCCTTGTTGCCCCTACAGCCATCAGTGCTTGCCTGTGTGCCCTCAGGAGCAGAGCAGCCAGCACAGACACTCTTCAGGTGTCGGTCAGATCCAGCTGTGCTGCCCTGTGGAGAGTACAATGCCCCGCTGTTGTGGAGCCTGCCAGAAGGAAATCTTGCCCTGCTGTTGGACAGATGTGCCAGACAAAGCTTTCTGTAACCCCAGCACACTCAAAGCAGAGCAAGATTTTGGCCTATCAGAGAGCTGCAATTCTATTTTCCAATTGAGTTGCACATCTGTCCCTAAATACAGGTAAACTAACTGGTGTCCTCTGGTCCTGGCTAACCATGCAAAGTCCACTTTGAAAACTTCTGTAGGCCAGCATGTCATGCTGAACACAGAATTGGAGTGATCAAACTGCTGCCTTCTGCAGAGTTGTCTCTGCTCAAACACTACCAGTTTGTCACCATTCATCAGGATTGTTTAGATGTTCCCACACAGCCTGTGTTCTGCATGTGTGGCAGGCAGTTAGCTGCAGCGTTGGCCTCTCAGAGATGGGGAGTTCTGCTGGTGCGGAAATACTGGCTCATGCAGCACAAGCTAAGATGTCTTTGAGGAGGAGAAAACATTTGTTCTAGCAGCAGGCTGCAAACTAAAGCTCTTGGTTAGCTAGTAGGGCTGCACTTGGATGACATGTTAGAAGTGCAGTTAGTCTTGCCATAAAGAAGATGGGAATATAATGAGGAAAAGGCATGGAAAGTGTTCCACATTCAGATCTGTAGCTAAGGCAACTTTATTTCTTTGGATTGTTTTCCATGGCTGTTTGGACTTAATGGCTATACCTTAAACTTCTCAGTTGCAGTTGTTTCTGTTTGCTGCAAAGATATTTAAATAGGAACATGCCTGGTCAGCTGGTATCTCCCTTCTACTGGTCATTACTGTCAGGAAGATGTCCTCTTAAACATGTGTGTGTAATTTGTGGGTTTTTTTGTTTGTTTGTTTTGTTTATTAAACCAGTATGAACCGTATAATCTCTCTCTTCTCCTCAGCTTTCTCTGTCTCTGGGGGCCTTTGTTGGACTGGTGGACTTAAATGACTCCCTTACTCCAAAAATTTTCTGCTGACTCCCTCTTATTTTTTTTTTCCTTGCTTTAAAAATGAAAAATTAAATAGATGGGAAAAAATGTAACAAAATTCTCATCACTGACTTTGAGAGAGCTTTGAAGGAAACTAACAGCAGCTTATGTCTCTGTCTGTAAATGATACTGCCGGAAAAACTTTTAACTCATAAGCAAAAAGGAATATTCCTCATTCAGTAAAGTCTCTGAATGTGGCTTGCCGTACTGGAGGCGTGTCTCAGTTTTTTCAGTCCAAAGAAATAGATGTAAGTGCATGTTAAATGGAGCAAAGAGCCACAGTGGGCTTGGCTATGTGATCAGATAAGGAAATGAGTGATCTATGCTCAGCTCTTCTTCAGTTCTCACCAGTTACCAAACAAGTATTTCAGTGGCTGTAACCCCAGTGAAGTCTGAGAGAGTTGCACCTATTTAAATTAGTGGTGGATTTGGCCTTAAATTCATAGTACATCAAGTAATTTGTGTGTTGGTCTTGGCATAGGAGGCCAAATTATGGCATGATACAGAACAGAGAATCACTGCCGATACAGCGGTATTGGGAATTGCACCTTTCACAAAATTTAATTTGCTTGGCACAAAACATCAAGGAGCAGGTTTTACATCAGTGAGGCATAAGTGCGTTACTACCTCTTAAAACAAGCGCCTGCACCTTTCCTTTTCACTTTCCCTGTAAATGAGCAAAACCATATCTTCTTTGGGAAGTTTCATCCTCACCTCCTCCACTATGGTCTGGATTTTAGGTATCTGCCCTGTTGGGTGTAAATCTAGCAAAGATTGAATCCTTCTGGAATAGAGGAATCCCAGATTGTAACACAGGTTCCAAGTCCGTAATGCTAAAGCCACAACATAGCACCACATTTATTAGATAGTCCTCACTTTTTATAAAGGAAAATGTTAGAAGAACTCATAACAAATGCAAGCTGAAAATCATTAATTTTTCCCATGTGGAAGCACTAGCCATTCCTGGCTAAAAATCTGACACTCTGTAGGTGAAATTATTTGTGTTTTTTTTTTTTTTTTTGTTTTTGTTTTTTTTTTTTTTAACTTACTGCATGAATACTTTCCCTCCCTCCTCCATAAGGTGAAATGCCATAGAAATGGTGAGATCCTACAGTGTTGCAGATCTTTCTGAAAAGAGATGGGGTCAGTGGCTGGCCCCTATCAGGAAAAATGATGATGTTCTGTAGTGGATGGTCTACGCAGACCTTGTGGGGGGATTTTCTCACACCCTGCTCCTCTTCGAATGAGGCCAAAACAAAAAAGCACGCATGACTTTATCAGCATTCCTGAACTGCTAAAGCCAGTCTAAAACTTAAGTGGGGTTTAAGCTTATCCCACATAAACGATAGAATTGGAAGCAGTAGCAGTGTTACTAACAAATCCACTAGGATGGTAAGTTACTTTTGTGGGTTTTGTTTTGATTTTTTGTTTTGTTTTGTTTTAAATCAGTAACTTTTTATCCTCACTTTGCATGCTTGGGGAGGTGAAGGGAGGGGGAGGAAAAAGATGTATCAGATTTTAAGCGTTACTTTTCTGTTCTGAAATCCAGGTCTACAGCATCAGGACAAGAGCAAGGATTCTTCTTGGTTTTGAAGTCCAGATATAACTTAAGACCAGCTAGAGCTGGAGTCAGTGCAGCTTGGCGGGTGACATAACCATCGCTGACTCTTTTGCATGGGGCAAAGGACACAAGTGAAGAAGAAGAGCCAACCATTCTCGTTTTGCTATTGAGCCTTTTAATTGCAAGGCCACTTATGGGTCCCACAGTGTTGGAAAATGAACAACAGAAAAACAAACTTGCTTTTCTTTCTTTCCTCATCTGAGCCTGCTGCAGCTGGGCAACCTAACTCCTTTCTGCTCCTTTAACAGTGTTTTGTTTCGTTCAGCTTGATATCTTTATGAACAGTCTCAAATGTCGGGAAGAAGACTCCCCTGACTGCAGTGCGCCTCCTTTCAGGAATACATTATTTTGTAGCTCTTTGTGCATCTATTTTTGTAGAAATACAGAAAGTTTGGTTAAGGATTGATGGGCTATTTTAGGATGGCATATTTTTTTTAAAAAAATTGTAAAAATTGTTAAGTTCTGTTTAAAGAACTTGCTCTCAGAGAAGCACTGGCAAAAATGTATAAAATGCTATTTTTAGATGTCTGTGATGTGTTTGTGCATTTTGTTTTTGTTTTGTTTTGTTACCTCAAGTGTCTATCTTTCCCTACTTTTTAAAGAGCTAAACCTTCCTTGTTTCCACATTGCTAGATCTTGATGCTTTTGTCCTTTTGTTCTAGTTTAAGCAAGTATAATTCGCACCTAAAGTTTCAGCCAAATATTTTTCTTGCTGGTGTTAGATTCTAGTAAGGGTGTTTTTGTTCTTGTTTCTAAAGATGGCTTTGTGCTGTGCTGTCAGAAACTTGCAAATGCCTTTAGCATGGATCATAGGGTTGCAGGAACTGCATTTCCAACCCATCCCGTCTTTCAAAATGGACCAAATACTTTCACGGATTTGAATCAGACTTGAGTTTGGACCTCATCTGTGATCCATGGAGGCTGATGAATGCAGTTGTCTATGAGTTACACTTCAGGCTCTCGTAGTAATCATAATTACCAGAATATTCTTATTTTAACTCATGAGGCAAGACTTTCAGCTAAGCTATTTTGAGGGTTTTAACTTGTAACATGAATGTTTAGGAAAGAAATGTCACTTTCATAAAAATGCATGACTTGCAGAAACAAAATGTTTTCAACTGGCCTGATCTGTCTGCTGAGGACCTCATGGGAAATGCTGAAACATTCAGCTGCTGTTGACTTCAAAATCTGGTTGTCTAACCCAAGGTTTGCTGGGGGCATTATTGGTTCCAGCTACTGCTCTTGAATTTTGTAAGAAGTTGCACATGCTCAGCATGCACAAAAGCTGGGCTTTGTCGCTGTCAGGGTAAAAATCTGAACTGGGAAGTGACATGGCCATGTCTAGTCACAGCACATTGCAAAATGTAAGAGGAGCCACATTTCTGGCCTTGGGTCTTGGGTCTGACTTGCTTTCTAATGACTTCTGTTGAAGCCAAGAACATGATCCAATCTTGAATAAGGGCTGCAAGGTTGCCCTCAACAGTCCCACTCCTGTGATGGCATTGTCTAGTCCTACTAACTCCAGCGAGTGACAGTACGTGTTTAGCTGGGCACAGGATCAGGGTTGCCAAATCCTGGATATTGCTTGGAAATGTTGCCTTTCTGCTCTGTATACCTTCAGTGAAGGAATACACTGGGGATCTCTCTGTAACATTTCCCAAGGCTCTCATAACCTATTGTATTTCTGTTACTATTGTTTTTAGACATCCCTGTCAAAAAGACAAACCATCTACATGGAAACCAAGACCTAAGCATAAGACTGACATAAGAAACAGTATAATTTTAAGTCAGTGAGTATTGTGAATGTAAGTTTGTCAGGTGGACACCACATGGATGTGTGTGTGAAAGGGGAGGGGGAATGTTGGGATGTGCCTGCCAGTCTGAAATTCAGGCCTTCTACCCTTGTACTGCTTTTTCTCTCCAAGCTTTTGAACTTGATCCTATGAGGTGTTGAGTTCTCCCTTGACATAAGAGAGGGCTTGACATGCTGACATTGTGGGCAGTAGGATTATATCACAATTTGAGAAAATCTTTAAACGTGTACCTTACTGATTTGAGGTTTCAGGCAGTGTTAAAATGCTGAATTGACTACTCTTATAGGTTACTTAAAAATAATAGGGCTAGAGTGTCTATGTTGGGATGCTAAATTAATGCTGTTCTCCCCCTTTTGCACCTCTTATCTTTATAGTCTATCAATATTTCTTCCTTTTATTGAGTTTCACTCTCGGGAGAGTTCTGTATATCATTGCTGTTCTGGTTGAGCTAGCTCCTAAGTTGGTCAATGAATTAGTTACAGATTGGGAAAACTGCATGGAAAGGAAGGTATCAAAAACCTCCACGATGTGTTTATCAGGGCAGAATGATTCAGGAAATATGAGTTCCTGACGTAAATTTAAAATTAGGAATTCTTACAGTATTAGAGATACTGAGGAAAAAAAAATCCAAGTATTTTCTTTTTTTTCCTCCCAGTCTTGGTAAAGCTGGAAGGCAGAGGCAAAATTTCACAAGGGAAACAATGAGGAAAGTTGTAATTTAGGTCTTTGAACATCAGAGTTGGAGGGTTTAGGGCAGAAGAGAGCAAAGCAGTATTTCTTTTTGAGATGTGATATGTTTGACTTCCTGAAACAGTTTAGTTAATGTCTAAGAAGAGCAGTCACTTCATTGCCTTCCTCTTTGCAAGTTCAAATGATGAAGGATCTCCTCCTGCTGCCTGTAGTTGTCAGAGAGGATTGGGACAGGAACAGTCAAGCCAGGAGTTTGCACTGGAATTTCTTTCTTGACTATTTTGTTGAGTTAATGGGTAGAGGTCATGGGTATGTGGTGAATCTGTTGCCGCTTTCCTCAGGGACTGCTGTCATGTGCTCCGTTTCCCCAGCTGAACTTGTGAATGTTCTTACAGAACTTGTGTTACTCTGCAGGCTTTAGGAGACAAGTGCCAATAAAAACCTGCTATCGTCTGTAGCTGTTCACACACCAGTCGGCCAGCTTTGGAAGACACATAGGTTCAGTTTTTTTTCCGCAGTAACAAACAGTCCCCGTACTAACAACTGAGTGGAAAGTAAAAGCCTGAGTACGTAGCAGTAGCCCTGCTCCTATTCTCTGATTTGAAGGATTGGAGAGAAGAAAAATATATTCTTCTCTGTGACAAGTTTTTAAGTTAAATTGAGCAGATTTGCTTCTCTCTCACACATGCGTCTATGCACGCACATTTACACTCACAGAAATGTGCTTATGAGAAGCAGATGCTATGCTAATACTGCTCTTGAAAGGGGAGAGGAGTGCTTGCTTGCAGTGTTGCACTTATGGCACATTGATGGCAGTGAGAAAGAAAAGGGAATACTAAGGCTGCTCATGCTTCCACAGATAGGATAAAAGACTCTTAAAATCAGGTTACGGGCAAGTTATGTGTCTTAATGTGTTACTAAAGGAGTTTCATTTCTGTGTGTGTGTGGTGGACTCTAATGCTGTCCCAAGAAAGTGGATGATTCATTTTCTGAGGTCTTATAAAAACACGATGTACTCTGTCACTTTTTCTGGGAGAACATAGGGAAACTATTGTTTTATTTCAAGAAAACCTAAACATTAAAGTCCTTACAGTTATCCAGGATTTTATTTTGTTCCTGGTAATGTTGAGAAATCTGCTCTCAGTTTTTGTGTCTTGTTTGCTTGAAGGCAGGGGATGTTCAACCTGACCACCAGATTTTGGAAAGCAGATTCCCATTTTGTTTCAGCTGGGGCATTTCCATCCTAAAAAGATGATGCAATACTACAGCTACTAACCACCCAGCAGATTTTATTTCTGGAGAGCTGGATAATCCATGCTTGATGACAGTAAAATGCACTTTTTAATGATTCTTCTACTCACGAGATACACCAATTTGCTCATCAGCTTTTCTGATTCCTCTTTTGTAGTGTGTTCAGTGAATGTCAAGATTCTCTCAATATTCTGTTTCTCCTGCCTTGAAACATGCTTTTGAGGATTAATTTCCCATCACAGCTTTCAGGGAGGCGGGTTGTACACCTCTTGAGAGCAGAGGCTGTATGAGGGGAGCATTATATTTTCCCCACTGTGCTTATGATCACTTACCTTGGCATGCACCCACCCTTTCTGTTTCCAATCAATCATGTATGTCTTGCTCTTCTTCTCCTACATTTCTTTATGTATGTGCATATATTTATATACATATATATATATATATATGCACACACACGTTGTTATACCTAGTACCTTCTTTCCTCCATTCCTCCCTCATGCTTCGAATGCACATTCTTTGGAAATAAACTGAATGACATTACTAAATCTCATCTGACTGTAAAAACAAAACAAACAAACAAAAAAAAACAGTAGGTATTTTATTGCATTCTCTGTAACCTCAGGAGTGAATGGAATTTTTCCACACTTAAAAAATAAATAAATAAATAAAATTAAGAAAGGAAAGGAAAAAAAAAAAAAAAAAAGAGAGAGAGAGAGAGAGAAGACAACCCCTTTCCCCAAAACTTAATCTTTCAAAAGCCCTGATTTGTTGTGTGTGTAGAGATGACCATGGTGTCAAAGGAGTTATGCAAAGAGATACAATATGTTGCCTTTCAGTAGACAAATGTATCTTGTTGAATACAGTTATTTTAATTCACTTCAGGTACAATATTTTTCTCCATATCAATGGACCAGCAACTTCTGTTTCTTTCAAACAGTTCAAAATTACATATATACATATATATTTTAAACTTGACTTCTGTCTTTAATATATCTGCCTTAGAGCTTTTAAGGGGTATTTGGATGATAAATATTGTTTTTGTGTGAATTTTTTAAAAAGTTGATGCATGTTTATTGGAGCTGAAATCTCATGTAAAGCAGGATGGTATTTAAAAATAAATACTGCTTTTATATATTAGCCCTATGGGCACAATCTGACAGCTATGATGCAGAAAAGGACCCTTTAAAGACTAAAGGACTCTTGCCTGTGCAAGGTCAGGAGAGGTCTTACAAAGGTTGAGATGGTAGTTCTGTGAGCAGAACTGTTCTTCTCCAGTATCGTATGTAGATGGTTGGACAGATGCTGCACAACACATTAAAATTAGACTGTACTTGCAAGTTTACACTCGTACCCTCTTATGGGATGAACTAATTACCAAAGGGAATTAAAGATATCTCTGGAAACATTTGTTTTAGCAGCCATTGGTCAGAACAGTGCCCATAATCCTCTGGCTGTTCTTTTTCTGTGGTGTCCATGACACCATGGTGGGACCTGTGATAGCTTGTTTGGAGTTCCCTCTGAACTGCAAGATGTTTTTAGCTCCCAATAAACTTAAGTTTAGGGATGGAGGTGATTAAAACATCACAGTTGTTATGCACCCACACAAAGGCACAAGGCTTCAAGATAGATCAGCTGTGTATCACTGACAGTGGTGTTTTGCAGGCAGGAGCCCTGCTCCTCCTTTCTTCCTCAAAGTCTGTTGAAGACTTTGATGCCATTAAGATCATTGGGACCAGCTGTGAATGCCTAAACTGCAGTCCATTGTTGGCTGGAAAAGAGTGGATGCCCAGGATCTGGTCCAACATTGGTGGACACGTACTGGAATCCACATTGATTCCAGCAAGCTTGGGCTCAGGTAATTGGCACCTATATACAATCAATGTTCATAGCAGTTGAGGTTTACAGTAATCTAGTAAAGTATCTGCAGAACTATGCTGCACTTTCTCTGCTAGCTGTTTGTAGTTATCATTTAAAACCATCAGTCAAGTCAGGGTCCCTCTCCTTCCCCCCTTCATTCTTAATCCTGCTACCCTCAAAACCTCCACTGAACATTCATCCTTCTCATCAAAACTGGTGGGAGTCTTTGTATAAAGAAAAGTGTCACTGTTTTAATTACTGAATAAATAATTTAATGTGAAGTTTATTGTTATATTTTTAATGTAGTATTTTCAGCTTGGTCTGTATTTCTCAACAATTAGCTAATGCTTTTTTTTTATTATTTTTATTCTTATGCAACTGAAGAACTCATAAATCTCTTTGTAAATTACAGCATCCTGAGTTTCTATTTTTTTTTCATGAGATTAATTTCTACAGCCAAGACTTTGTCTCCTGTTGAAAACATTTTAAAACAAGTGTCCTAAACTACTGATTCTCTCCTGAAATAGGATAGAGCAAAAGGTGAGCATCTAAGGGATTTCTAAAAGGGCTCTTGCATGAAGACACTAGCTTTCTCATTAGATAGGGTCTGTTGCATTTGCTGCAATGTCTTTTTTTTTTTTTTTTTTTTTTTTTTTTTCTCCTTTTAAATTGCTCTAAAATGAGAGGCTATTTTAAAATCAGATCTGGTAAGATGGTATACCTGGTAGACCTGAGGCTTCTTGCTGTAACAGATTTTTAGTTTTATAATTTTGTTGCAGTTTTGATGCTCATCAAGTAGAAGTTTTCCATAAAAGTTTTTTATCACAAATTGATTCTTTTTTATGACAGTTCAGTAATTCCCATTAAGGAAGTGACTATGCCCTTGCTAAAATTATTTTACAGCTGTTTAATTGAGTGATGTTCGCATGTCTGCATTCTGGATTGAGGGCTGAACGTTTGGTATTTTGGTCACAAATATATCATTTACTGTTCCAGCAGCAGGGGAGGGGAAACCTCCAAACTTTGGCCAAGCACAGAGCTTTTGAAAAATTGCCACTTGCACGCGATCAGCAGGGAGCTGTTAAGAGTTTAGTTGCAAAATTCTGTGAAGATCCTGACCATATGGGCTATACAGTATCAGAGCACCAGTAGATGAGCAGGAATTTCCCTATATGTCTTGCTCCAGGACTGATTTCCAGGACAGTAAGCAGAGAGTTTTGCAAGCAGAGTGCTTTGCCTCTGCTCAGAATCGCCCTTTTCTTTCTTGGGCCATGAGTAAGAACTTGAAATGTAAGGAAAGGAAGACCAGGGAAGGGGGAATTTGCATTCAGAACTTTCTGTAGGAGAGAAAGTTGTTGGAAACTACTGGGAGATAAACAGTCGCATGGACGATGGAGGTGAGGATGGGATAAAGACCATTGCAAAATAAGCAAATGATGCCTAACAACTGCTTGGCTTGTACATGAAAGAAGTAGAAAGGGACATGACAGCCATCAAAAAATACCAGAGCAGTGTGAGGACTTAGAAATTTGGTACAAACTAAGTGTCAAGAAAAAGCTGGAATAAACATTGCAGGAAACTTCTTTCTTTGAAGTGAACTGTGTACACTGTGGTTTAGTCTGTGAGGAAAGATCTGGGAGAGCCCTTTTGCTTTAGGACAACCACAAATAGCTTCAGTGAAGTAAACGTGTTCTAGGCAACAACAGTGCTGTTAAACTGGGGGATGAGTGAGCTGATGTGCTTTTTCTCCTTTAGTAACATCTACTATTCTCACCAGAGTAGAGCTCCAGCTGCCTTGCCCCATGCCTTGGTTTCCAAATGCTCATAGGTGTTATTTCTGTATGTACTCACTGCATCAGAAAACAAGAGGGGAAGCAGTGATGCTCCAGAAAAGGAATTGTTTTGTGACTGATTATATTCAAGCTGAACCACAGCCTCCATTCATGTAAATCTGTGCCATTCAGTTGGATTTACTGACCTGACATCCATCAAAAATCTCATCACTTCCATCCAGATAACTCTTATTTTGGATTTTACTGACTGCCAGCTGGGGTCCTGCCTGATGCCATGGGGAAACGCTTCCCTTGGTGCCAGGAGGGAGCCGGATAACCTCAGCAGTGCTCAGCCTGCTTGGCATGAGGGAAATGCCATGGAATATGTGAGGAGTGAGGTTGGCATCTGCCACACTAGTGGGGGAGGTAAGTGTGGGTGGGGGCCAGCTGCTGGGGCTAACATCAGCCTTCTGCATCAACCCCCCGCACGGTGGGGCCAGTCGCCCCGACAGGACCTCAGGCTCTGAAGGGTTATGCTGCCTGCGTGATGTGGGAGGCCGGGTGGGGACTGAGACATCTGGTGAGAATTCCTCATGGCTGAGCTGTGTGTTGGGCTGGGATGCCAATTAATTTAGCTGATTTCTTTTTGGGGTTGTTGGGAAGAAGAGGGGGGCTGGATCCTGCAGCCTTCCAGTAATTGTCTGTCTTTCAGAACATCACTTTTGCTTTCTTTCAAGATGAGCGAGAAATTATATTTAAAAACAAAACAGAGCACAATCACCACCACGAACTACACCAATGTCTTTGCCTTGACAATAACTGTACATCTGCAATGGTTTATCACTGAGGGAAAATGAGCGGGTAATAAAGTTTTGATGTTGGCTGTTGCGTGCACAGAGGTATTGCAGGCTTTAAAAATGATTTGTAATGTGAATGCCCATAGTAGCACTACAGTTCAAAGAGACGTGGTTTGTTTTTCATGCCCATTTAGTTATGAATAACACCAGCTCTAATTTCCTCCTCCCACCAGCAAGCAGAAAGTCCTACATTGGAAGCCAAATATAGCAACAAAGATTTCTATATCTGGCCAAAACCAAAAAATCTGTTCCCTTTTAAGAATAGCACTCTATTCTTTACTGGTGGAAATAGATAGAGATAAAACTCAACTTTCAGGAACTTTCTCAGTGGGAAACTCCCTAGTCTCTTTCAAATGTCCTTTTTAAGAGTAAGAATTTTTTTTTGGCATCTATGTAGAAGTCAATGGGGAAGACCTCTGTAGAGGTTGATCAATAAAGCAGTTTTGGAGAGGGAGTCTGGATAAATATTCCTCACTGGCTGGTAGGTTTTTTCAATCCTGTTTTGTCTGTCTTCTGAGAAGTATATTCCAAATGGAAACTCCACAAGCTGCAGATCTACTACATTTCTTCACTCTTTTCTTCTGGGTTTGCTTTTGTGGAGAAGTTAATTCCTCCTCTGTGACAGACAGATTCCTGCTCTACATAATAAGTAAGATGGTGTGCAGCAGTAGCATTCCTCTTGTACTTCTTTTCTTCTTGGCTTTCTCATCAAGGGAGTATGTGGGAATCAGTCTTGTACTCTTCCCCATGGCTCTTTTCCACTTTCAGGTTACGTAGTGCCTACAGAAGGGTGGCTGGGGAAGGTGGGCTGCTCCATTCCCTGTTTGGCTGGATGAGCTGGAAGAGAAAAGAGGTATTACAGACTAAAACCAGAAATGTTATGCTCATATGCTTCCTCCCTTGATTAGTTGTTCTTTTCCAAAATGATCTTGACAATGAGCATGGACATGGATGTCACTCTACCTTTTTTAAGCTGGAATTTTTCACTCAGAGGGTGGTGACACAGTGGAGCAGGTTTCTCAGAGAGGTTGTGGATGCCCCATCCCTGAAGTCATTCAAGGCCAGGTTGGATGTGGTTCTGGGCAGCCTAGTCTAGTGGTTGGCGACCCCCCCCACCGCAGGGGGGTTGAAATTAGATGCAAGTCATTCTATTAATTTATCTTTAGGAGGCTACCCACCCTTTCTGAGCTTGAGCAGGTTTTTTTTTATTTATTTGTTTGTTTTTTGACTTCTCTGCACTATCTGAAGAAGGATACTCAGTTTTTCCTTCGAAGGTTTTATTTCCATTCCAACCTACCCCCACCACCCACCTGCAGGCAACTGGCATGAGAAAAATATCCCGTTCCCTAATCTACCAGCTGTCCTTGCTTTAGAAACATTGCCTCATTCATCTTCAGACTGGTCTTTGCTGTGGAGTGAACAATTTAGGAGTATAGGAGTATATTAGGTCTTCCTTCTTTGGAGATGTGAGATTTGCTGTTGTTGACTTCAGTAGAAGCAAGCTTTTACTCCTTGTGCATCTTAAAATCAATTCAGAGAAGTTTCATGCAGTGAGTATATTTGCACTGGATTTGTTCTGCCAGCTTTATTACTGATGGAGTTTTAGATAAACATAGGGATGTTTGGAAATATTTTGTGTATGTAAATATGTAAAATATGCAAAACAAAGCTAGCAGCTGTGGGGTGTATTCATTGCTCACGTGGGGAGGATTTATGTAATGTTTTTTTCCATCATCCCCTCTTTATTTAAGCATCTGCATCTGTTCCAAGATAATCACTTCTCTGTGATTCCCACTGGGCAAGTAGGGAGGAGGCTGGCTATGTCTGTGCAATACCGTAAGGACTGCCTGAACTTCTGCAAATAACTCCTTTCTATAACGTGTGGGAGCATACGTACTGAAGGCAGCACACAGCAGTTACTGCAATAGAGGTGGGACACACTGTGGGCCTGAATGAACTTGGTCACTCAAGAGTGGTAATGTAAGGCACAGGATGTTTGCAGCATCCTTGAGTACTTCATAATGAGCCTGACAAAAGCATTAGTCACCACTGTATGAGTCTTAATTTCCTGAATTGAATCTGTTGCTTAGGAAAGGGTGACAATTCTGCAGCCTCAAGTCCTTTATTTAGCCAGAGAGAGTTGAGGTCTACGTATGCATGAGATCCTACTGAAGGCTTTGAGAGCGCTGCAGTAGGAAGTCACCCAGAACAAGCTCAGTCCATAGCATTAGTAGACTCTTCACATTTATTCATTTTTATTATACAGTGTGTTTCTTTTTAGACATCCTTTCAGAGAGGGTAATTCATCCTCTATGCACAAAGAGACTCTACTTCGCTTCTGAGTACATCAGTACCACAGCATGCTCTGTGTGACTTAGCCACCTATTGTTTTAATGATGTTTTTCCAACCTCATCCTTGCTCTCATTTCTATTTCCACTTCTTGAAGAGCAGGCTTTCAAACTTCTGGCTGCTTGGCGATGTGAGTATCCTGGCTCTGCATCACACAGTTGGCATTTGAGTGCACAGTGAGTTCAACTTGTCTGTAAGCTTGGACTCCTGAATTTTGGAGGATGCAAAACAAATGTATGCTCCATTTTTTTGCTTGGTGGTCCCAATCACAGCAAATGGAAGTGCTTGGCATGAGCTGCAGCCCTGAGTAATGGGCAAAGTGGAAGTGGAACATCATTCAGCGGGAATCCAGAAGACATCCTGGCTCTCAGAAAAAGCTGTGTTTACTCTAGCAAAGGAATCAGTATAGTGTCTTCTCCAGAGATTAATTACTTTTCATTCTCCATGCTCCCAGTTAACCTAGGTATCCCAAATACATGATCTGGGAAAATCTAAGCATGGTTCTCCAGGTTTAGCATGGTCTCATGGTTTACCTCAAAGGTCCTTTTGCCTTGCTGAGAAAGACATTTTTGTGTGGGTAGGCTTGAAGAGATTTTCTTACTTCCAGAACGTTCTCATGCCAGATGCAGCATACCCTTTCAAACCTTTACATAATGTACAGACTTTCTAAAGACTCAGTCATCCTGGAAAGGTTTTAAGGGCATTTTACTTCCTAGGAAAAATCATAGTGATAAATTTAATGATCTGCTTACTTTGAATGGAACTAACCTTTATACATGTAGTTTTAAGCGTTTTGGAAATATTTTTTTATATAGAATTTATTATGTGACTGGCATCTCCTTAGACTTACCAGAGCAAAGCCATTTATTCATGATCCTACCACCACCAGTTATCTTCATTAGATAGATAGATAGATAGATAGATAGATAGACAGATAAGTAGATAGATAGATATATTTATGAGATCATAGAAACACAGAATGATAGAATGGCTTATGTCAGAAGGGACCTTAAAGACCATCAAACTCTGACAGCCTGCCGTGTACAGGGTGCCACCCACCAGATCAGGCTGCCCAGAGTGCCATCCAAACTAGTGCTAAACACCTCCAGGGATGGGGCATCTGCGGCTTCTCTGGGCAGAGAGATTAGAAACCTCATTCCAGTCTTACTTCTGTACTCATGCAAAAGAATCCAACAACAAAAAAACCAACTTAATGAGGATAAGATGCTAGCAATCTATAGCATTTTATGATATCTTTGTGCTATATTTTCCTAGTTTAAAAAGTGACAGGTTCATTAGCTCTTGCTTCTTCAACTCTTGTCTCACACGACATCTCCTAGAGATTCTACCACCCATTTTCCCTATCAGTAAGTGGAAATCACTGCCAGTCTCAATGGTACAGCAAAGTCTTTGAGGCAACTGTTAAAGCTTGTTACTTAAAAAGAAAGAGAGAGAATTTTGTGGCTCATATGTTGTGAGGTTATTTTTTTTTCTTGTTTTATGTGATGGAGAAGTTGTTGCTTTTTCTTTAAAACTAGATGTAAAATGACAAGAAGAATACATGGGCTGAACCAGACCCTGAACTTCTCATTGTCCTCACCACTGCAATGCCTATTTGTTGTCTTAAAAGGATGACATTTCATTCCTCACTCCAAACATAATAAGTGGAAATTAGTTTCTTTCAGTTGCTTTGTGTTCATGATATTCTGCATTATGTGCAGTTGTCATCAAATCTGGACAATTACTGAAACCATTTGAGTATATCTTTAGCTGCAGTAGCTGCTGTTCTTCATGAACAAACTGTGTGCTTACAAAGCAGTGTCTGCAGTGTGAAAGTTCGGTAATAAAAAGGGAATTATGTTGATGTTATTATTTTGATTTGAAATATAGTGAAGCATAGAACACTGAAACTGAGTAACAAGATGTAAACTTCAAGCTGCAAATTTGGCCTTTCAGTAATGATTTCCTTCTAGTATTTCAGATTGTATTTCAGTGTTTCTTAGCAAAATTTCTCCTTTGTAGAGAAAAAAAGTAAACCTGTTATCCATGACATACATTGCTGATTACTTTTCACGTGGCTTTTTGCTGATTTGAAGAGTAAGTAAGTTTGAGAGTAAGTATAGAGAACCCAGATCAACCAGTATCAGAATCTCCAGTTATCTCATATACAGCTTCATTGTGGGGTCTCTTCTGCAAATCTCAGACCTGTTATTTTCTCAATAAGCAATCGTTACAATTTCATCTCAGCTGGAACACTATTTCTCCTCTTTTTTTTTTTTTTTTTTTTTTTTTTTTCCCTTTTGATGGGTCAGATTTAAGCCATCTGCAGGCAGATGGAAAGGAAAAGTGGAATTATTGTTTTCACCAAAAATTGTTGCAGCTGTCAGGGTGTGTTTGACACAAGCCTCATGGCTGAAAACAAAGACAGGACACTTTGTCCCGGCTGGATATCAGAGAGGATAAGAACTCTTCATGGCTAGCTCTTGGAGAACTGGGGGCTAAATGAGGTAAACAAGAACATTACTTAGCCATACACTAAGGCTTTCCAGAGGGAATTATTCGCTGACTTATGTACTGCTTTTGCTGAGCTCCAGTGAGACCCTATCGGTTTTGGCATGAGGTGGTAACTCTAAATTAAAGTCACAATATATCATACAAACCACTGTTTTGAGAAAGGCATACCACATGGCAGAGGATGAAACCATCAATTCCAGTACCTGTCATTACATATTGCTTTTATAATTCAAATAATTTATGGCCCTATCATTAGTAACTGCAGACAATGAGAAAGGGATTAGAGGAGCTTTCTAGGAGGGACACCATGAGGTATGACTCAAACCCTCCCAATGTGGATAGAAGATTATTTCACCACTTTGTGTCCAAACACTGCTGACTCGTAGGTCATACCAGCTTCTTGTGAAATCAGGCCTTTCTGAAGGAGCATGAAAGTCCACATGAAAACCAGATCCATCATTGGAGCTTGTCTTCAAGAAACGTAGACAAGTTTCCAGCTGGACTGCAGAGCTGATTTTGCACACTTGTAGGTGTTTTTGAACATAGGAGTGAGGCTTTTCATTGGCAATGTGATGTTTTCATCACCACAAGGCCCATCTGATATAATGTCTTTACCACTTGAAGGAAGAATTTGCTTTCATTTTGTGTGTGTGTTTTTTAACTACTAGAATATTGTATTAATATCATTAACATAATCTAAGATAGTTAACATCAAAATGTTGTCCTTTTCATCATGAGTCTTGAGAGTGATAATCCTGTGAATTCATCATGAGATCTACTTTTTTTGTTCTGAAGTGACAACTGTGTATAATCTCCCAGAGTTGACACTATCTTATTGGTATATATTCATGTTGTATTTTTCCCCCAAATACTCTATACATCTGCAGGCAAAATGTGCTTGCACTAAGCTAGAACTAAGAGAATAAGACATTTAGGAACTCTGAGCTATTATCTGTCATTAAGTCATATGAATTCTTGTGGTGCACAAATTCTGAGTAGCACTTTTGTTATTCTGTGGTTATTGACTATGCTGTAAAATAGCTCAGATGAAAGAATTTTGGAAACGATTCATCATCTGGTTCAGAAGATGCTGCTTCACACTGATCTTGGATCAAGGTAAGAAGGGTTCATGCTGCTACAGTTTAATTTGGCTAACTTGAATGGAAGGAAAGCCATGAAGATGTTCCAATTCCTTTTTTTTTCACTCATTTTTGGAGATCAGAATTTTAAATTCAACAAGAAAACCAAGAAATCAGACAGCTTTGGAAACATCTCATAGGGATCCCTAAAAAGGGAGGTCACATACAATAGATACCACATCCTATTCATGCCACTCTTAAATCCAGCAAGTGTGCTGTTGGAAATAGTTAAAAAGTTCTAGTGCATCAAAACTGATTTTCACAAAGAGAATTTCTACTATTTCTGCACTTGATATATGATGCCTGGACATGTACTATGCAAAGCCTTAGCAAGAGGATGTAATGGGCCATGTTCCCAACTAGGTATTTTGCAGCCATTTACACTTGCACGAAATGGGTGTGAAGTGTTCCCATTCAGAACTGATGATAGTCATTCACACTCACTTAGCAGGGCTGTAAAGGACCATGGAAGTGTCCGGAAAAGGGAAAACCAGGCCGGCATCCTGCTGGAGCTGGAAGTCGGACCAGGGGACAAGCCAGGAGTGCCACTGCTCTGTGCCTGATTTCTGTGAGCAGTTCTGCGAAGAAAAAAAACCGCAAATGATGTATGCTTATTCATTTCTACTTATAGCTATCTTTGTAAACGGGAAAGAGATGATATTAAATACCATCAAAGGGCTACGGCTGCCCTGCTCTCCCAGGGCCATCCATATTCATGCTGCTTGCTGCTGTATGCTATTGCTGATCTAGGTTCAGGTCCCTCACTCACTTGTGTCTCTGAGGTGGTGTATCTGAAGTAATCCCTGTACCTCCTTTTGGAGAAGGACCCTAACAGGCTTAAATAAGAAGAGAACCATATTTGGAACTAAGAAAGGTAATGGTATTGGAGATGATAAATGCATTACAGAGCTCTGAATGAATCCATCCAAAAGCAGTTAGTAGAGAAAGCATTGTGGGATACAAATGCAACCCATAGTTACTGCAAACAGCTCTTAGTCTCTGTCTCTTGGGAAAAATACACAGGTTTATGTGACTCCTGCAAACGGTAGGTGTAGAAGTGCGCAGTTCTATCACCGGTGTTACTCCACTCCTTAACCATGTTTATTTAGCTCCACACTGCTGCCCTAGACGTACTTTCTAAAATTTGAATGAGAATGATAGAACAGATGATAGCTTTTCCCACTTTCTGCAGGCTGCATGCATTAGTAGGGGAAACAGACATGTTTTCAAAAGATACTTAACAAAAAGATCCTCCAGTGTATTCTTTCTTTGCTACTAAAGAAGTGTTCTAATACCAGCACGTTATCCAAAAGCAGCACCACTATTTGGCTGTTTTTTATGCATCAGAGACTGCAGCAGTTGTTCTTTCTCAGTACACAATTGAATGTGACACTGCTATGCAAACAGTAGTGATATAAGGACTTGGGGGAAACACTGATTGCAAATCGCAGTATGATGGTTGTCTATCCATTTCTGTTGTTGTCCATGACTGGATGAATGTCTTATATTGTGTATTCCAATGCAGAATAAAATAGCTTAGCTAACTAACTAAAGGTCCAGATAATAGCTTAGAAACTTCAGCTAGGCAGAATGTGTCATAAAATCATGTCATAGAATCACAGAATGGCCTGGGTTGAAAAGGACCCCAAAGATCATCTAGTTTCAACCTTCCTGCCATGGGCAAGGTCCCCAACCACTAGAGCCACATCCAGCCTGGGATATCATTGGACAAGTAGAAGAAGTGTTAAGGTGCTTTGCCACATTTCATCACCTCCCTGCTAACAAAGATAAGAACTCAGATAGGTCATCCCTATTTAACCACTAAAACTTTGCGTCTTTTGTATGGGCTGCTCTAGAGCACTGAAATCAGGGAAGCAAATGTTATTGGTCTAAATGGATGTTGTGTTTTCACTACTTCTGTTCCTAGAATTGAGGAAGTGTTTAGAGATATGGTCACTAGTTACATACGTGGCTTTAGTTTCCTTACTGAGGGAGTCATGCAGTTTTCTGTATTTGTGTGTTGGGTTTTTTTTCCTCAACTCCTCTGTGATTTTTCTAGTGAAGCCTGCACTTGAACTGAACTCTTCAATAGTTACACTTTTTTTACCAGGTTGGATGCACAGTAACAGGTGCGCTTCAGAGAGTGGATCTGGGAGCACCGAGTCTCCTTGAGTAAAATTGTTTTGCTATTTATTTCACTAAGGTCCTAGGGTATTGTTTGTTTGTTTGTTTGTTTGTTTTTCTCTATATTTGTTCTTGTGAACTGTGCAAATTATATTGTGAACAATGCATGCATTCAGTTCTTTATGTTGGTACAAATTGCCTTCTGCATGCAATCATAGTTGCGAGGAGCTGGGAGGACAGGGAGGTCCCCCTGCTGTCAGCAGGCAGGTGACTGCAGACTGCACACAGAGTTGCTGTGTCCCTGTGAAACAAATATCTCCCTGGAAAATGTTGTAATAGGAAAGGCAACGACTGATAACATTAATTATGAAGGTGGGAGTTTTAAACCAAACAAGCAAATTGAAATCCTGAGACAAATTGTTCAGAGTTTGCCTATGTCGATTTCTGCGTAGATAGCTGTAATTGTAACCACAGGGCACATCCTGGGCAACAGCTTGGTGGTTACATTTAGAGGCAATTATTAAACGGTTTTGTTAATTACAAGCTAATTTCTCCCAACACAGCTTATGCTTGAAGCTTCTGTGATTCAAATGTGAGATGACTCCATTATTATTTTATTCAATTGATATTGGTTGAAACTAATTAACATACAAAAGTCAAATTAGTTTTAATTAGAGAACCATTACCGGAACAATTCTAATTAGTATTAAGGGTGCAAAAGTTTTCAGTGATACTGAACAGTTAAGTGAGAAGTAACTGTATGAATTGCTTTGAAGGCAAATAACTTTGGATAGAATATACTGACAGAGGTTTGGTCTTATTTTTTTCGAAGTGCCAGAAGCTTTAAGTGTAAACCTACCCTTAAAGACAATACAATAGGTCTGATAAACTACTTTGAAGATTCCTGTGCCTTTCTTTTGCTTTCATGGTGCACTTTGTAAAGAAGTCTGCTTTTCTCTCTCTTAACAGAGAAGCTAAAATTTAGCTAATTTTTCTCAGTTATACAAGCAAGGTCTCATTTACAGCAGGGTAATTTTCTGCAGCTGTTTATAGACTGGCCGTGAACAGCTGATCTCATCTGAAGAAGTCAAGCTGGGAAACGAGGGGAAAAGGTTGAGCAGGAGGTGAAATGGGTAATAGTATAACTTACTGTGAAACTGGTCATTCAAGAAAGCTGTGTGTTTTACCCATGTCCCAGTGCTGTTTGGTTTGCTATTCACTTTTTGTTTTAATATGATAGTTTTAGCACTGTAGAATTAATACATCGATGCTGTTATGACCTTCTTGTGATCTCAGATGTGACCCTTAAAAGATTCACAGAATGGTTGGGGTTGGAAGAGACCTCAAAGCCTGCCTAGCCCCAACCCCCAGACATGGCAGGGCTGCTCCCCACCAGCTCAGGCTGCCCAGGGCCCATCCAACCTGGCCTTGAATGCATCCTGGGATGGGACATCCACAGCTTCTCTGGACAGCTGTGCCAATGCTTCACTGCCATCTGAGTGAAGAATTTCCTCCTAACCTCTAACCTAAATCTCCCCTCTTTTAGTTTAAAGCCATTATCCCATGTCCTGTCACTATCAACTAAAAAGTTGATGCCACTATGTCTTTTCAACTAGAATGCTCCTTGACAAGTTTTAAGATTCCAGAAAAGATTTCTAAATTCCTATTATAAAATCAGAAATACTCACTAGAGCAATTTCAAGGATACATCCTCCAGTATTGTTACTAGGTTGTTAAAAATATGTTCCTAACTGTAAAGAATTTAAAGTCATGTAGCTGTTTCATGTTTCTGTGACTCCAGCCTTTGAATGTCATTCATCACTACGGTTGCAGAAATAAATAAATGGATTTTGGTGACAAAAGAAATACAATGAGGATAAATGGAGCAACTGAATGCCTATTCAATACTAAAAACCAGTGGGCAAATGAATCAGTTGTATCACCAATTAGACTGTCTCAACTTCTACAGACATACTGTGAAATGTAGCAAGTACATAGAATGTTCCCCTCATCTTTCTTGTATTAAAACTCCTGACAACTGCTTTATATGCCTTGAAAAGGACATCACTATCAATTCTCATTACAAGACATTCAAAGATGCGTTCTTGTGTTTAAACAAAATGGAGAAAGAAATCCAGTGGAAGGTGAAATGACTAACACGTTAGCAGGCAGAAAATGTTAGCAGAAAATTTTATCAAACAGATCAGTGCAGTTACTTCTAAAAGGGAAAGGACCTGAACGTAAATAGTAATACACTTGTAGTGTATTCATATTTTTTTTTCATGCTCAGATCATCATCTAAACTTCGGGGAACTGTACAGCTAATATGTTGTTGTAAATGCAATAAATGTACAGCTAAATGATTGCATTTATGTACAGGCCTTTGGCTGAATTTCAGACTTTTAATGAAGGTAGAGGTAAACTGAAAAGCAAATAAGCAGCTACCCAGCCAATAAAAGGAACATCCTCTATCAGCATGTATGTTTGTAAATGCCAAATTAAAAGAAGTAATTTGGATACAGAGCCAAAGCAACTTTTCTGCTGTGTGTGAACACAGAAGTGGTTCTTGCTTGAACCATCTCACTTTGAAGTTACAGACATGCAACATCAGAAACAACTCTTCCTCTGGCTGTGCAGCTGTCATTGAGCATTACTTCTGGATGCAGGGATATGGAAATAAAAAAATGCCTGTGCAAAGCTGGCATTCTTCAACTTTGAACTTAACTAACTATGTAGGTCTTGTCTGTGGAAAAGCATTATCTGTGCAATCTTAAAACAGAGTAATGAATTGCCAGATTTTGTGGGATGAATTCAGACCAGCAATGAACCTGAAAACATTAGAAAACATCTGTTCTCACCTGACTGAGATTTAAATTCACATGCTATATTTATACAATGGAAATGTGGTTCTATTTTAAATGTGAACAAAATGATGGTGAAAAAAAAAAAAAAGGCAGAGATGCTATAGTAGAAGATATGCAGCAGAGACAAAAAAAAAAAAAAAAAAAAAAGTTTTATTTTACTACAGAAAAAAAAAAAAGGCCAAATCCACTTGCATGGAAGTGAGAGAAAAGATCCCCATTAACCTCTGTACAGCTGGATGAAAACTTCAATTAGTGTCACTAATTTTCTTGGTGGATCATGCTCTAGATCTCTTCCTGTTCGTTGTTAAGCTTTTTCAGCTGCATACTGCTTTGTGTAACGTTGATGGTGCTCAGCATTTTGTCTCATTATTTCTTTTTTATTTTTATTTAATTGTATTTTAAGTATGGGAGATGTCTCTGAATCCAAGAATAAAGGAATGTAATAACAGTGGATGAGCTTGGATCCGTGCCTTGAAAACCTGTTCTCTGAATGCTGTGGGAATTAGTCAGATCCTTTCGTGCAAATGTACATAGAGCTACTGACTCTGGAATGATTTCGAGCTTCTGGAAATCAGATTATTTTCATTTGT